CGTTTGTAATAGCAAAAGAACAACCAGTTGTCGCACAACGCGAGTAGCGTAACGAGTGGGCCGTCCGATGCTCCTACCCATTAGAAAAGTTGGTTTATCTAGACGTTCATTAAGGCCATTCGAGCGCCTTGTTCGCTCTTAACTTGTTCGCTTTTAACTGTGGCGTATACCCAGTTTAGCCATAATTCTTCATCGTCATCAGTGACTGCACGAACAATTGGCACAAAATTCCTTGCACGTGTTTAGTGGATACCAAGCTTCTCAGAAGAATGACGAAAAATAGCACAGCGAATTTCTGCCAACTACCCCAAAAATTTTATTATTAATGCCCTAGTGGGTATCAAGCAAGTGTGCTTGCAGTAGTTACCCTATGAGTGCTTTGACAGGCTCTGAAAGGCCACTCTTCTAGTTTTTGCTGTGACTGTGCTGCGCCTTCCACGCAGGCCTGGCGTTTTTTCTGACTGATTTTGACAGCTGTGCATGATACGTGGCAAGGCGGCATCCGGTATTGAGCCCATGGGTAAATGGGCGACGCCTACATAAACTCACTATAAACTTCGAGTAATCTCTATTGAAAGTCGAAATACGTGTTATTGCCAATTTAAAAGCACTGTTTGCAGCACTCGTCGCGGGGACTGCGGCTTGCCCTTTTCGCATCAGCACTGTTGTCCCAAGAGGTGGATCTGCTTCGGTCGGTAAACAACACGGCGTACTCGTCAAAAGAATTTCTCGACATTTCGCTGGATCTCACTTCTCTACTCTCGTCCCTTAGGCTCACCACGTGCTCTTTGATGACGCGACTGATCATCCCTTCGGCTTCTAGACTTTGTTCCCAAGTGTTCAAAAAAAGTACTGGTGACCCCATCTTTGCTTCGACGTTTCGCACTTCATAAAAATGTGCTGCTACTGTTAGGGACGCAGGGAATCACCAGAACGCCCTGCTGGTTTCACCAGGGAATCACCAGAACGCCCAGAACGGTTTTGCTGGAGCTATTTCTGATGTAAACACGTGGAAACAGGCGTTGCTTCCCGGTGGTCCAGAAATACTTGTTATTCACAGGGGTATGGCTTTTACGCGATATCTAACGCAAGTGATGCTGAAAAGCAGGTCACTAATTTATGGGAAAACAGAGCAACACTGATATCTATGGTCAGAGGTCCATACCCATTCCTTACTCACAATCACAAGGTGGTTATTTTTTGTTCACAGAATTGTGAGTGATGCCTATTGTGCATCCTTGCTAATGAGATTGTCCACAAGGAATGCGTAAAAATCCAGAAAGAAGATGTTTTTACTTTTTGCAAAGGTCACTGACCTGCTTTTGTTCAGTACATCGACCTTACTAAGTGGTACTCCGTGGAACACTTCACTACGAATGCGAGCGATCTGGCAGTAGAGCCAAACAGGTCGATGAAGGAAAACTGTATATTATACCTGCTCGAATGGCCTCAATGAACGCCTAGATAAACCATCCTTCACATATTTCAAAGTACACGGACGTGAAACAAAGCACATGAAGTTTCATTCGTGAACGTATAACCTTCGCTTACCACAACGTGGTGCAAGAAACAACTCAAATGAGACCATTTAACCCAGCGTGCGTTTAAGCCCATCTACCATTCATAGGTTCATATATATCTATAAATATATCGTTATTTATGCTTATACACAAGACACTTTGTTTTTCCTAAGTGCATTGGCATGTTGCCCATGCAATACTAGTGATACACCCTATTTCTGCAGTGATTTCTTGGAGCATGCTACTACTGTGACTTCCCTTCGGGCGTAAGTAGGTAAACAGAGCTCACTGTATAACAGAGTGTGCAATAGCTGCATAAAATAGGAAGTTCGCGTATAATTATCCACTGCTATATAAACAAAACGAAGGTTGAAAACAGCTGTGAGATAAGCTTTATTAGCCAATTCGATAAATTTTGGCATAATAAAATTGCTGTTATTTTGTGACAAGAAGGCCTCCGAACTTTGTGTAGCTGCTGCTTAGTGCAGTGAACACAGTGGATTCATGAGTGAGTTATGAGCCTCGATTCCGCCTCCAGGGAGGTTTTACGAAATGTCCGTCTCTCTGGTCCCGTACGCAATCCCCATTTATGCATATCTGTTGGAGAGATGGGCGTTGTGATAAGAAATCATGTGAGTATACAGTGCAAATGTATTCTAAGTTCTTCAATGAAAAAATCCATTCCACTTGCTCAATGTGGACAGCCTGCGAAGGTGTGTTGAAAACAGATTCATTTTTATAATTAATATATTTTGTTAAATTAGTGCAACCATATTTAAATCACTTTGGTCTCAAATAGTGTGTACCATAATTGAAGAACCAAGTAATTTATCTCCTAAATGAGATATTCTGTTTATTTTTATGAGCTCAGGGTGAGTTGAGATGTTAGCCTAAATACTGCGACACTGCCTGCTAGAGCTTTTTTGTTGAGCAGTTAAACCTTCATCTGGTTGACGTGGCATTTTTTGTTGTTATTTTTAATGCTTTTGGTGCCGCAGTCGCGCCAAGCGATTCTTCCGCTTTGCCAGCCGAGCTTTTACCTAATTCTGAGCAGGTTTCTTGCTTTTTGTGCTTTTATTTGATAGCAAATTTTGTTGATGGTGGTGCATGCTTTCTGTCATACGCGTAGTGATTCTAAGTGTTGCGAGTAGATAATTGTTGAAGAGTGACAAGTAGCATGATTAATAGAGCATTACTGTAAGAAATCCGGCGTATTGGCATAAAATGCCGGGCGGACTGGTGGTGCATCGATAAGACGCTTGGTAGCATACTGGTGTCGGTAATATCATAGCCACGCAATGTGTTAGGCAAAGGCGCACGGAGGCTGTCTTGCATCAGCCTCCTAAAACGCTATCTTCAGAGCCGCGGCAGGCAAGTGTTTGAGGATTTCGCCAGCCACCAAAAGGGCTAGCTATGTTTAAGTGTTCCGTTGAGTAATCTGTTAGAAATAAAATCCGACATTTGGTATCATGCACATGACTAAAATTACGACTTGATCAGCTTTCATTCAGTAGTATATCTATTTTCTTTGTTTCTTCAATAAATTTCTATTGTTGTCACTCAGCACTCATCCTCGTCTCATCTTTTTTGATCGCGTCTTCACGTGGTTCCTTCAACTTTGGAGTCATATCCTGCCCGCTTTTAAAGCACTTCTCCAGTTTTTGTACATAGCAAGGTAAGACTACGAAATTCTAGGGCACAAGACGTGCCTTCTATGGCTTTCCTCTCACAAAGTTGGGTGCTGCTTTTTTTTATCGTAAACTATGGAACAACGACCCTGAAATGGTTATTCTTCAGCACCTATGTTAGTTAGGCAACGGGATAGTTTCCCTGAAGAAAACACAACCAGAAAAAGTCCTAATGACGCGCTTCAAACAAGATTTGACAGGCCATTGAGATGCTCTGCGTCGCAGTATTTATTCAAAGTCGATTACATTAGGGATATAAACTGAAAAATAAGGATTGGCTGAAACGAATTTCCCGGTTTCAATGCTGTCATCATAAATCTGACAGCTTCAAACATGGTGTTTGCGGCTGTTTTAGTTCACATCTTTGCCCTTGCATTCATTCTTTTATTTTACACTCTTCTGTGAAGCGCGTTTTGCTGCTTAGGTACATGCAAAAAAAACAAGACAAATAAATAAATAAACACAACAGGGAGTGCCACACTTGCTGTAATTGCCTAATTTTTTTTCTTGCCTCTCAAGTGAAGTCACGACCTGGAGTTTCTTTTAAATTTTCTACTTTCCTTGCTAAAAGGGCCTTCTTATGATCTCAACGTACTTTTTTGTAACCGTTATTTGTGATTCAATCTCGGTGAATGTATGTCAAGTTCAAGAATTTACACGCCACGACATGTGCGACCTCCGAGTTCCCCACCCTTCTAGCTACCGTAAAATTTGTTATGCAATAATCCTCTAGTAAGTGGATCATAGTCTTTGTCTCCTAGGCGGCCCTTGATAGTGTGCAAAGTCTACGATGTGAACACCATCAGTTGGTGTCTCAAGTTAATAAAACCACTCCTTGCGCAAGTAATCAAAGACATGACAGAGCCTTTCATTGCCTGGCGTGTCAGTGCACCATCAGCGCTAACCCTCTTGCTCACAATGCTGTTCGATGTGCCCACAAAAGAGCTTCCAAACTGCTTATACGCCTGTGAAAAGTGGACGCTGCACGGAACCTTGCCACATCGCACATAGTGCGACGCTTACGTATTGGAATGATCAACTGAACTACCCTCCTCTCGTCAACATTAGAACCTCGATTAATTACTTGAACTACACCTGCAATTGAAGAGTCCGTGACAATGCTGTGTCGGTAGTGGGTAAGTGTAAAATTTGCCAGCTCATTCAACTAATGCAATTGGTATTGCTGGCTAATCCATATGTGTTAGGTGCACGTGTGTAGAAACTCTTGACCACGTTTTGTGACAATGTTCCGACGTTGAACAAGATTACCATGGTTTCAAAGGTGCCTTGAGGAGGCTGGATGATTTTTATTTTACTTTGTAAAAGGTATTTGGTGAATTGTCTTAAAGTAGATCAGCCCATAAAGCCAAACGAGCTCTCTCTTTGCAATCATTGAGGAAACAGTGTTCAGCGACCACCTGAGAAACCCTGCACTGCTTGTTTGGTGTGCGATGTGCCTCTCCTTCTCTTCTTTCTTTTTTTCTCTTTTTTTGCACCCTTGTGTTGATCGCCCCATCTGTTGGGTAGTAAACTGAACGTTGTATAGTTAACTTCCCTACCTTTTTAGTACTCCTTCTCTCCCAAACGTAATTGTTGTCACAGATGGTGCCGTCCAGAAGCAGTATATGCCAATAGTGATCAGCAGCATCGTACTGTTCTCCCGGAACATAGCAGTAACCTTTGCAGTTCCGTCTCCCCCTTTTCTTTAATGAAAAACCAGTTATAACAAAAGTTCAGTGTAAAATATTTAAAACTTGGCTTGAACGACCTTGAATACCAAACTTCAACACACCTCAAGAAAGTACGTTTTCCGAAGAAACGGGTACCATATTTTGCACTGTGTATTTAGGCTCAAGTAGTCTCCAGGTAGCACGTAGCGTTTTAACCAGTTAAGTGGGTACTCATGTGAATCATTTCTGTGCAAGCAGTTTGCTTCGTACGTCCTAGAAAAGAAAACATTCCTTAAGTACAGATGAAGAGTGTTCAGACAAACAATGAGCTGCATAATTTCCAATGCCGCCTGTCGAATAGAATCATTCAAAACAATAAAAATTATTTATTCTCGTCAATAAATCTTTTGGCACTATGTACACAAGAGCACTTTTAAGAAATATTTTTCGAGTGAATACGTACAGCATACGTTACTCGTTGTTCATATTTCATTCTGAAAGAATAAAAGCAGTGAAGCAGATGCTTGTATTGTGCCACGCATGATTTGAAACCACGAGAGTGTACAATGTCCCTAACGTTTAGATTGGTGACGCTAGGTTATTTACAGGTTAATTTTCAAACCAGAGTGGTTCGTGTTGTACCCCAAAAAGTAAAAGACACGAGATGCTTGTCCAAGCTTCTGAGACAAAATATCACGCTGAAACACAGTGCTGGCCCCTTCCATAGACCTATGACCACGTAGTTAGCATAGTGTTTCAATCGCTTCGGGGTCTTCTCGCCACCACCATTGCCTACTCCCTTTCTTAGTATTCTCTCTTCGTAAGCACTTGCGGTATTCGGCCTACCGCCATCATGTCGCACCCATCTCTTTGACTAGCTGTTGCTTGGGCTGCTTCTTATCAGTGAACTTTGATGAGTACTAAGATGTTTGTTTTTACGATGAATATACTTGATAGTAGTAGTAACGGTTCAGAATAACAAAGAAAATGTCACTTATTACTGCAGCCGGTGAGAAAGTACGGCTAAGTGTCTGGAATCGTAGGGGAAAGAGGAGACAAAAGAGGAGAAAGAAAAGAGAGATGACAGCCATGGAGCAGGCGTGGCAGAAAAAGCGAAGAGCCGAAACTGAAGCCGTCAACAGACGCCCATGTTGCCGACACTCCCGTAGAGGTCGCTTTTATGATTGGGGAAGGGGGAGGGGGCGAACTTACCACGAATGTTATGAAACTAGTCATGCATTAAACAAGATGCTGCCCACTGACTGACTAAAAGAAGGTGGCGTGCAAATTGCCATTTTGGGGGGCTAACTGTTGTAATTATCAGGTTTAGTGGACACACATTGAGCATTGGGATTCAAACCATTTTTGTGGTGCACATTCATTTAAAATTACGATTATTTTTAGGTATTGTCGACAGTTCACAATAGGCTTACGCTGTTAAGAGAGGTGTATGAGAATCGGAAAAACTGAATATTAATAAATAAAATACTTGTTCGAATGCTGGAAACTGTAAAGATGCGCCTAAATACGTAGAACTAAACACAAACAAGAAAATTACAGCATAATTCTAACCAAAAAAGAAAAAATAAGAATACGCTTAAGCTTTATATTTCAAAATGGAATACTATAGCAAAATGTTCCCACTCTTTTCTTTCAAGACAATATGGACCACTGTGCAGCTGCAAGCTTTGTACAGGATTTATTTGGAGGGTAACGACAAATTACAGCTTGGCATTTTGTAAAGTGTGAGCTCTTTAGAAGACTTACTTATTACGCAATTCCCATGTTGTGGCACAAGGTATGACCTATAACCTTCTGCCCTGCGGCTTTACGTCTGAGATGATGACACCTGACACAATATTACAATCTCGCTTCTTACCGAACATGACGTTTAAATTGCTAGGCTGTTTTATATTTCATTTCCACATTTAGGCATCGAATTTTACAAAAAGCAAATTTTCTATGTATCACTGATTTCTGATGAGGTTAGCATTTTTTCTCAGCCCCCTTGAAAGTTTTTGTTTATATCTCATGATGCCATGTGGTCTAGTGGCTAAAGTACTCAGCTGCTGACAAACAGGTCTCGGGGTCGAATGCCGGCTGGAGCGACTGCATTTTCGGTGGAGGCGAAAATGTTGTAAGCCCATTTGCTCAGGCACGGCTGTACGTAAAAGAACACCAGCTGATCAAAATTTCAGGAGACCTCCACTACGGCGTCTCTAATATACATATAATAGTTTTGGGAAGTTAAGCCTCACATTGCAACCAATCAATCATGATGCCGTCTACATTAATTTTATTGCTGTCGACTGATTGGTGCCTGAGTTATGAACTCCTAAAATTTGTAAAGCTCTTGAAGATTTTGTTTGCTAAGAATTTATCAAACATGCTAATATAAAACTTGCATATTCGACGGTAACAGCCAGCCCCTCTGAACCTACCAGGTCAACTGTCGGATATCGTACTGGCAGCAATGAGAGAACTTCATACTTCGGCTGTCTTCTTGCTCATAACTCATAATGTATCCATCGCCCCATGGACACTGCAGGCTGTTCGGCGTAAATGCTCTCACAACACCCGAAGCGCTCGTTCCATCGTGTGAGCAACCAAATCTGTGAACGACACAAGGTAAATATTGCAATTTGTAATAATACAGCTCCTCTCAGATAATATCAAGATAGCTCACAGTGTGATATATTATGCACTTCGGCTTAATGTTTATATGTTGAAAAGAAGGGAAACAGAAAGGACCAAAAAAAAACCTGTGGTATGCTTGGCCAATATTAGTGCACATGGTATTTTTTTCTTTAATGTCACAAGGCCTTTTTATGTGACTCTTGAGTGTTCTCTGCTCTGTTCACAATCATGGGGCTGTTTACTGTATGCCTTTGTTGCTCTTCAACTTTTTAACATCAATGTACATGCATATATGTGCGATTGCTCAATACATTCTTTTTAAATATCATGTCTTAACTATTATGCTAAATTGTATACTGTATGTGCTGTGTACTTCTTACTTTAGGATACTTCGAACTTAAGTGCTGTATGTTAGATACCCCTCAGGGATAAGGAGTAGCTGGCGCTTCATTTCTGTGCCAACATGTCCTTAGATCACGTCAATGAAAAAAAAAGACCAAGATAGCACACATGAGACATTTTAATAGCGCTGCGTGTTTTATTCGCTTTTGTCTTAGTCTCATTAGAATGTTCACGTTGGCTCCTGTTTACACCATCGCTTACTTGTACTGGTAGCTCAGTGCCAATATTGATCAATATCGAAATATTGCATGGTGTATATACGTTCTCAGAGCATCTGGGAAGAGTGCAACAACACTGTTTTTTAAGCAAAGAGCAAGACATGCCTGCTTCAAACAGATTTTTTTATTATTCTTGTAATATATTACCGCAATGAAATATATTTACATTATAATATTGTTATTACATCACATGGCATAACAATATTTTCATCACGGCCGTTATCACGCTTATGCTAAGCAAGGTATTCTCCTCCAGCCTGATCACTTTCTTTTTTCTTTAGGTTGCGTGAGCCTAATTGAATAAAGCAGCAGTAAGGAAATACCATAGCTTTATCTACGCGTAATCTGCGACACTCGTCAGTAGTTATATTGCCAACTACCTGTAGTAGTGGGTTGTAAGGAAAAGCAAAGGCTCAGACCCTAAAGAAAAACATGTGCGCACGACACATCTCAGGCGAGCAAAACCAGCCAACGCGGTTAGTAAGAGTACTGATGTTAGGCCCCCAATAAATCTTTTCTACACCACTGGAGAGACGTGACAACTGGTGCATGTGAGGGGTAGCCTCTCACGGATGTTTCAGATCTCTCTTGGAAGCTGTGCCACCAGCCGAGTGCGAGTCAACACTACCATTCATCGGACCAGCCGCCGAATGAGGGGATTAGCACCCGACGCCTAGGTTACGGTTCACACTAGTATGACGAGCACGTCCATTCAACCACCTCAACAAGTACGAAAAACGAAACGAAAAAAAACGGTGACTTGGTGCACACCTAAAGTCCACAGGTTCCGACAATATTGATGGCACTGAACTCGAAGACTTCGAAGACAGGTTGGTCGACTGCCAGCACGTGACTACCTTGAGCGAATGAAACGACGTATCCAAACTACGTTGTGTGTATTTCTACTTGGAGGACAGATCACGTTCATGGCATCAGAAGCGTTAGGAACCGATGACGTCAAGGTGCGAATTCTGCCGCCGGCTCCTTGATACCTACGCCAGCGCTGATCCCCATGAAGGAGCTGAACGAGCGATCTAGGCCCGTATGCAGATGCCCAAAGAAAGTGCAACGAGCGATGTCGAAGATATGACGCGCCTGTTCCAACCGGCTCATCTAAGAATGGCGGAGAAGAAGTCGCGTCATTTGATGGGGGGAGTCAAGGAGCAGATTTTTGCTGGCCTTGTACGGAGCCCTCATAAGACGTTTGCCGAGTTCTTGTCCGAGGCCGTCACGATGCTTAAGATACTACAGCAACAATCCGCCAAATATTAGTGGCAAGTGCAGACTACGTCTGCGGCTTTGGTTCGCCCGGCTGTTAGGAGCAACACCAAGGGTCCGCGCACTCTTATTCATTTTATATTCTACGCGAGGAACTGCAAAATGCTGCCACACCACCACTCACTACGGTTAGCTCCATTGCAAGCTTCATAAAGGACAGGCTGCACTAGGTCCTTCATTACACTGTGAGTCTCGATAACACCACATCAACTCCGGGTAAATACCACCGTGTTACCTACGTGAAAGTCTTGAAGCACTCTGCTTCCTCTTCCCTGCTGTTCGTTGAGGCACCTCTTAAGCTTCGCTTTATTCGGTACAGCTGCTCCGCTATTACGCGAATACACGCTCACCACCACCTTTCGGATACACTGGTCCTGCTCATCTTGCCAACCAAACAGCATATCGACTCGACGACAGACGCGTGTCTCCTTGATAATATATCTGGCGCACTCCTAGTAACCAACCCTTGTACATACACTGTGGTGCAGCGGACGACTTTTACCGCCCGTGCACGTGCCGGCACCTCGGGATACGGACCCTTCAGCATATTAAGTGCCTCCTCGGTATGGCCAGCGATCCCAGGACATTGAGAACTACCTGGCTCAGCAGCGCATGCCACCGCCTTCTGGGTGGCAGTCGCGCTCACCGTCAGGAGACGATTTCCCCCTCCACCCCAGTGACACGCTGGTGCACTGTCCCACCGGGAAAACTAACGCAAGCGATCTTTGAAGGAGAGGTCACTGGCAGATGACGTGCTGAACGCCTCCGATTTACGCTAAGAGACGAGAATGTAGATTTGACTCAACGGGATGGGTGATTTTTCTGATTGATACCACTGCTGATGATACTTTCTCTGATGATACCACTGCTGACTGACGACTATGAGGTTGGTGCTTTAGTGGAAACCGGGGCTGACTATTCCATACTAAGCGGAACAAGGATCATACTGCTAAACAAGGTAAGAACGCCCTATTATGGCTCCGGGATTCGAACGAACAGTAGCCACATCATCTTCCCGCTTATAACCTGCCCGAGTATAGAGTTAGGGTCTGTGGTTTTACTTCAGTAGCAAGCTTTCTTAAGTTACGTGAAGGTTCACGTGACGTTATTATTGGTGTCAAATTCCTGCAGGAGTATGGAGCTCCTATTGATCTTCAAGATCTCAGCTGACTCGCCATCTCAGCTGACCGAGCAATCGACGGGCGGGGCGACCAAGAGCATGCTGACGTTCTTCGTGTTTCTGCTGGAAGTGTAACGCTCCCTTCAAGAATCAATGTTACAGTAGACGTCATATGCTTTGGATTACGGAATGATGAATTGATTGCGGAAAGTAACTTGGAACACCCACTGACCCTAAGTGTTTGCGCGGCTCGGGATGGCCGTTCTCTACTACTAGTTACAAATTTCAATAACGAACATCAACACTTTTATCATGCCACTTTTCAGCATTAGCAGACTAATTAAAAATTGTTGACAACTGCTTCACATCAGAAGCAGTGGTCACTCAGATACGTCACTAGACGATATTGGAACAAGCCACATTCAAACTACGCACGCTCTCCCATCCTTACGCCGTTCCGATAATGAACGGTGTACTTAAAAAACAGATCGCCAATTCACAAGGATAGCACGTGTTAGCTCGAGCCATACAAAAGCAGGTATGCGTGCCACAGGAGGGACCCATAGAAAGGAAACAAGACGACGAGGTGGATGACTTTCGAACGAACTGGTGGCAGGAGCAGCCACATATAATTTCTTTGAGTTGTCAGTTTTTTGGGCACAAGTTCGCCCCAACCACTTGGTTTCTTTATTGTGCACCCTTTGATTGTGCGTCACAATGTCAATATTATTTGGGACCTCTCCCCGGTTATCCAAACAGCACTGCGTAAACTATTGCTTGAATTAGAGTCATGTTTCGCCACTTCCGCTAAAGCACAGAGGAGTTCAATCCCTATAGGCACGAAATCATCACTTGCGACGCAAGTCCGATACGCAAGTCCGATAAATTCTTGTTGTCAGCACCATCGAACTTTCGAAAAGCACGCGTTCGTCTCCGGTCGTACTAGTCAAAAAGAGAGAATGAACGCTGCGCATTTGCGTCAATTACCAGACGCTGAACAACGCTACTAAAAGGACTAGTACCTGCTGCCACGTATCGAAGACTTTTTAGATAGGCGACACCACACTCCTTATTTTAGAGGCGAAGCTCCTAAAGCCGTGAGTTTCTCCATGCATGTCTGTGACCGGATCGTAACCATCTAGTTGTATGAATCACTGATCACTCAGCAGGTAGCGCTAGTGTGAGTGAGAGACATATGAACGAATGAACAGACGGACACAGGCGGACAGACAGAGAGACAGACAGACAAAAAAGAAAGAAAAAGGAAGAAAGACAGACATACAGACTCGCGGACGGACGGACAGACAGACAAATGTACGGACGCACAAATACACGAACGGACGAACAGACGCACAGATACACGAACGGGCACACAATGGACGGAAGGACGCATGTACGCATGAACGGACGTGCTGACGCACGGACAGACGGCCAGAAGCACGCCCATGCGGACGGCCGGACAAATGCTTCGCCCCACTCATCGTCATTTACTTCATACGTATGCTGTGATTTTTTTCCTCTCTAGATTTAAAAAAAATGTGGCAGATCTTACGTACTTGGGAAACGACGTTATGCGAAGCACGCGGAGGGAAGGTGACTGTGTTGGATTTTTTTATATTGAGCGACACGTCAATAAATCACGCTGAATATATGTATAAATGTTGCACGCAATGAAATATGTTGAAGAGTTGCAAGTTTTCATAACCAGCTGTTCGCACTTGTGCACCAATGCTAACTGGAACATGCGTATTAGCAACACTAAAGGTGATATGAAGAGCTGGTGCTCCGAAGATGGTGGCCCTGGATACTGCTACATAAATCAACTTCAGCGCATGCCACCTAACCACAATTGACGCTAACTCGACGTGACGGCTGTATCAAAGGAGAACTTATATAATGGGTGTAAAATTGGGTATACCGCACTGAAATTACTGTTGACGTTTCACAAATATTACCATCTATTTGAAAAGTAGTTCCGAGACCTGGCGTAGCTCCTGTGGTAGAATGCTTCATTGCCACGCAGAATGCTTTGGTTCGATTGCAGCTGGAACGCTGACATTTATTCTATGTTTTCGTTGGGTCGACACTACAGATGACGCGTTTTGCTTAACGCTTACGCGTTAGAATCTCCCATGTGTGTCCTAGTCGTTCCTGGATAGACACTTGGTGTCAATCACCTGTGGCACATCCACGCATACCAGCAGCACACACCCGCCTGTGGGTACTTGCCACGGTCTGGTGGGAAGTGTTTGACGTCGTACGCAACGGGGTTGTGACATTATTCATGCCATCACCAGCACGTCATATTAGTCAAATCATCTTACCCTCCCATACTAATTTTGGTTCACGCCAAGTTAAGGGGGTGACCATGAGAGCACCCAAATTTAAGCGGCTAGATAGATAGATAGATACACTCAAAGTCGTAGAAGTTTGCTATTAAATACTTTGCATTTAAAAGCGCATACTGGCGTATATAGGTTGACGACTGAGACCGCGAGAAAACGGCATTTTTTTACCCCTGACGGCCTCCGTGAATTTCGAGCCCTGTCTTTTGGTTTGTGTTCAGCGCCAACAACTTTCCAGCGAATGATGGACACTGTGGCTACTGGTCTGAAGTGGCATACTTACCTCGTATACCTCGATGATGTCGTTTTTTCTAAAACAATACTGCAACATTTTCAATCCCCCAGAAGGGTGCTAGAGGCTATTTGATCAGCAGAACTTACACTCAAATCAAAGAAGTGTTACTTTCGTTATGAAGAGCTCAAGTTCTTTGGCCGTGTAGTGAGCGTGAGAGGAGTCCGACTGGATCTTTATAAACTCAACGCTGTAGCCATGTTTCCAATTACAAAAAGGCTGTTTTGGGCTTTCTGGGCATATTCGTCTATTATTGACGATTTATTAAAGAGTTTTCGAAGATAGCAGTACTCTTGACCGCCTTACACGTGACGACAAACCGTTTGTGTGACCCACCTAGAAAACGACTGCTTTTGGCGACCTACTACAGCCGATGCAGACAACACCAGTTCTCGCGCACTTTAACGCTATAGCGCTAGAGAGCTCATGTCGCAGAAATCCCGCCGTCGGCGTCGGCCCTGTTCGTTGTGAGCGAAAAATCATCTGTGTGTTTCGTCGAAAAACCAAGTTACAGAGATCGCTGCGGGAGGCGGCTACACTCTAAAAAAAGAGCGAGTAAAAAGGGTGCCTTTTTGTCCCACAACAATAATCGTCATCTATATTGCGTTCTATCCTAGCGCTATCGCCCCGAGCCCGGTACATTCCGGTCACTATCGACATGCCCATTACCAAGGTTACATTGCATTATCATAGGAAAGTGGCCAGCGCCGAGTTTTCAAGAAAGGAAGCACACGCAAGCCTGATGACGATTATTGTTGGGGGACAGAAAGACGCCCTTTTCACTCGATATTCCTTTAGAGTGTACATGTCGATGCCTGCGAACGCGATCACACTGAAAAGAACGCGCATTCGAAGAAAAAAAGTGCTCAAGGTCACAAGGCCTGGTAGTTTCTTTGCCCCTGCCACCCCTCCCTGCTTAGCTTCCAGCGCTTTCGTTAGGACGAGAGAAGAGATAATGCAATTGCAGCATGCGACAAACCTTTCTAACTCCACTCGCATTGGACGGATTCTTAAGATATTGGCGGCGTTGAATTCGTTAGCCAACAAGCTATTCTAGTGAATTCATTTCATGGTTACTTGAAACCGCTATCGCGTGTAACTCTCAAATGCGAAGCTTAAGGGTCTCCCAATTTTTTCATAAACTCAGTACGCCCATTAACAAGAAGATGTCAACTGGCATATCATGACACAAGATAACGTATGCTATGAAAATTTAGATTAGGTTGTTTTTGAAAGACCTCTGCAGTACTTTCCAATAGAGGATGACGTCCTGACAACAATGTTCTATCGTTTCTGGAGCTTCACAGATGCGGCAGTTATTTCAGGATGCAAAAATAACCTTGGTTGTTTACTATGCTGTGAAGCTATTCTAACTATTTACACAAAGAGATGCGTGGCTTTCGCAGCCACTTCTCTGCATCTGAGTAAAGCGAAAATACTTCCTCTGCTTGCAAGTGCAATGAAACTTTACAAACGCACGCGTCCTATATACATGCTTCACAATACATAAAATATTTTTGTAATAATGCGTGTTACAGGGGTACATTGTCATCTGGAGATATGATAGTTTTAATTTAATGGTTTAGAGCCAGTCACCCACAAAAAAGGCACACGTGCTACTGTACTATTGATGTCATGTATTGGGTACATAGCAAGTTAGAAAAAGATTTCTTACACTAAATTTTTGAAGTGCCCTCTAGGCATAGAATATGGCTATCACGTGCAACTCCTAAAGTTGAAGCTCAAAGGTCTCTAATTTCTTGCTGTCATTTTACTATCAAACTACGAAATAATAACACTCGAAGCTGCTATTGCCCCACTTTAGACCCAGTGACACACTAACTGCACTGGTTCAAATTGCAGATAACGAGAATTGCAGCTATCCACAAAAAAAATTGTTTCACATTTTGACTGGGATATGTGGTTAACAATTCGAGAATTGGGTCAACCTGAGATATTTTTTTCAAATTCCCCTAGTTACAAGATCAATATTCTACAATGATTTTGCAGGTTTATTAATGTCGGTAGGGTAAATATTTCAGCGTAACAAACAACTATAAAATCCGCGGCAATCTCGCTAGTATTTTGAGCAATTTTTTTAAGATAGACAAGTTTCAAAAAAGGAATATTTTAACTGAATTAACCTAATGAATGAATCCAGGGTAATTTCTTCAGTCAGTTCAATGAAGTTCGGACCGTGAAGATGAATGAGGACAGTGAAGATGACGTCGAACATGGTAAATAAACTCAGTTGGAAGAAGTGTTGTGAGTGTCATCACCGCTTTACCCGTATTCTTGTGCTTACCAGCTTCAGAACAGTCTTGTTGAACTTTGAATTTGGAGCATTGCAAATAAAATAGCCAGCAAGGCAACTGTCAGCTTCAGATGTTGAGTTGCATTCACTTTTTTGTTAGACACAATAATATAGAGTAATAACAATGATATCAAAGGTATAATAGCAGATCTCACTAGTAGTAATTGTAAGGTAGGTAAGGTGTAAGGTAGGTAAAAAGTAGATACCTTGCTTACATACCTTGACATGTAACCAACCACATTTTTCAAAAATACCAAATTGATAACATATAGAGATATGACATAGAACAGATCAGCGAGCTTTTGTTTTATACATCATGATCGAAAGTATGTATACTTTTGATCAGCGGGCTGATCCAGCTTGCAATAAATTAGTTGAAATAACACCAACTTACGTGTGTCCGATTTCGTGGGTCATAATGCGTATGCCTTTGTATGTATACGCTTTGTCCTCCCCCAGCTGCTCCCGGTTGTCAGTACAAGCAGAAGCAACAAAAGCATAGCCTACATAAAAAAAAACCTGTTAATGGTTATCGTTCATGCTATTTTAATATCTAGTTGCATATTGAGCCATGGAAAAAATTATGAGTCCAGTTTGCGAGAATAAAAACTGTCTGCCTTAACATTCGCTGATACGGGCTAATGTTCAAAAGGTACCTCAGAAGTCGTTTGGCTAACTAAAGTAATGCTCCAATTGATATTCACTGTAAATAATCGCAGCTTATGCACAAGAAAAGACAGAATCGCTTCTCATACTTGCGTAAAGACTTGTCTTAACCGATGGACGTGAGAGAAAAATCGTTGGGGAACGTGAGTTGCAGTGCAAGGAATGACACGTGTGCCTAACAATGGTTCCGTGGTTAAGAATCCGTTGAAAAAGTTCGATGGCACAGCCAACGACAACAAGGTAGAGGAACCGCCAGCGATTCCGACAATGGCGCAATATTCGGGCCTCAGGACTAGGTCCAATGTGCCTACTGTGAAGACTACGGAGATGCAACAGGACGGCACCGGACCACTGGAAGGCCCCAGAGGCGTCTAGAAGTAAGACGTACATAGTAAGCACCACGTGCCGAACCTCACTCATTTTATTGAGTGTGAAGCAGCTCTTCGAGCAGCCTGCGTAACGCTGTCCCTCTGTGCGTCCCCAGAAACGCACCGAAACGTGCTCCCCTCGCGGCAATTGTTGAAGTGCCAAGTACGTCATGCAGCACCTGCATGTTGACGTCACGCCCTGTCGGAGTACAGGCCGACGTCACTTTCTCTCTCACCTGCCACGCCCTTGCCACAGCTCCTGCAGCTGTTTCCTCATCTGTTCGGCCGGAATACCTGACACTACCGCTGCTCGCTCAGTGGCCAATCTTTCAGTGTTCACAGCAGCACCCATGCATGTTAACGCCATTCAACCCGTGACGCCGCCCATGCACACTGCTGCTTTGTGTCCCATTAGGTTCCCTTTGAGAACATCTTTTGAATTTTTAAAAACAATAGTCTTTTTTGGGGTACTTCAACAAAAAACTTTTGGTCTTTTTGTCTGCACGTCCATCTGTTTGTCCGCCTAAGCGATACCTTAAGCGGTCAAAATCCAACCCCATCCGCAGCGCCCACCAACGTTGCTCAAGTTTCAGTGTTTATACTTGTTCTATTGTCATTTCAAAATAAATTATTGCACATATCTGACGCAGAGTAACAGCACGTCAATATTCTGTATATGTGTATTCATCCTAGAGAAGGGATACACGAGTAATTCTTAAGAATGAAGCGCTTATTGCACTGCGCAGACAATGCAATGCTATGCACAAAAAGGCAAGTGTTTCCAACGCTTTGCTAAGACGACTTTGGTGGCATCTGCCCGTTGCTTTGCGTTCTACACTTCATCGACTCCGAGACAGGTGTGCACGCATTCCTTCGTTTTTGAAGATAACTGCGAGATAGCGCTCGTGTCTCGCGTGCCTCAATGCGTTCGTTCGCTTTTGCTGCACGGAATGAGGCACTCTAACGGAGTGCTTCTAGAATGCAATTCACCCATTTTTTCGCGCAGAACATCAAACCTTGTTTACTCTCTTCAAATGCAAGACTACTGTCTTTCGACGACATTTGCAGTGAAATATGCAGATATGGGGCCAATTTCTAGTCTATAAGATTGCATAGCAACTTGTCGCTTAGCTTTATTACGTTAAACGTCCGAGGTTTGACGTCCAGAAAAAAGCAAGCTCAAGTTTACCACCTGCTAATTGATCAAAATATATACGTGCTAGCCATCTAAGAGGCAAAAGTTTAAGGGGAGGAGGAAACCGGGAGTATGACGCTGCGTTTTGCGTCGCAGTATTATTCTGTTAGTTGCACAAGACCGATCAGCCGGCTGTGTGCTTGTTGTTAAAAAAGCCCCGGGACTGCTTGCTCAAAATTACTTTTCCTGTGACTTGCAATTGGCTAATATAGTTACATGTGATTCCACAGCAAGTGACATCGTATGGCGTATCCTTTGTGTCTATGCGCCAAACGTGGAGGCTGGGCGTGAAAGTTTTTCAAAGACGATAGTCTTTCTTGGGGACCCGTGACGCAAGAATGTTGGTCTGTCTGTCTGTACATTTGTCTGTTTGTCCACTCTTAACAGTACTGGGTACTTTGAACGGCACCAGACGATACCCCAAACGTTCGACCCCATCCGCAGCGCCCACCAATGCTGCTCAATATTCAGCATTCATACTTGTGCGATTGTCAAGTAAAAAGCAATTATTGCGCATATCTGAGGCACCATAACAACACATATTTATTCTGTATGTGTGTACTTTACTGGAAAAGGCATACATAAGTAATTCTGAAGACCATAGCATTTATAACGCTGCCCTGATCACGCACCGTTTTCAACGGCGAGTGTTTCCAACGCTTTGCTAAGATGACACGGTGGTGGCACATACACGTCGCCTTGCGTTCTGCACCTTATCATCTCTGAGACGGGCGCACACGCCGGTCTCAGAGTCACGCCACGCTTCATTTTCCAAGAAAACTGCCAGATAGCGCTTATCTCTCACGTGTGACGTGACTTAATGCGCTAGTTTGCCTCCGCTGCACGCTCGAGGCACTCTAACGCAGCGCCTGCAGAATACCATTCATCGATTTCTTGCGCAGAACATCAAATAAATGTTTTGTTCACTGTTTTCAGACCCAAGACTATCGTCTTTAGACAACATTCGCAGAATAACATGCAGATACGGGGCCAATGTTTTTCTATCATTATGCCACATCTTGTGTGATCAATTTTCGAAATGGGACTTTAAGTTCATTTTCTTTTTCTTCGTGTATTGAGTGCCACTGATCGAATTAGCTACTGATTGCTTCACGACAAGTGTTGGCCAGTTCGAAGAATAACTCAATGACTGTAATTACGAGGACGTAGCTGAAGGCCTTTAGTCCGGACGTAAAATACGTTTTACTTATTTTCATTGAACGAGCGACGCACGTCTGGATGGAATATACATGACCAGGTTTGTAATATCTGAGAGCAATAGTTATGCAGTTGCACCTGTTTCATTTGGGATTAATACCTCATGCAGTGTAACGTTGGAATGAAACAAAAAGATAACACATTCAAATGGGAGGTTTGGAAGGCAAATACAAAGCTACTTAGGAATACTGAAGTGATTAAGTAATTAAGACTACTAAAGTGATGGTTGGCTGCAATACTGGTAAGAAATGAAAACTTTTAAAACAAAGCGTTCAAATGGTCATCATCACCAGATCTTGTACTTTAACGCACGAAAAAAATGAAAGAAAGTGTACCTAAAGCTACGCTTCAGAAAGTAAACAGCCGGGCATATTTAAAGACGATATATAAACTATAAGACAGAGAATTCATATATTTTTGAACAGGAACGCCACCGAGGAAATATCAGGCGTGCAAGAGCAGAGGCGTGAGTTATGGTTGAGGCGCCCACTAAACATGTGCTTGGTATCAGATGCTTCCTTTCGTTACATCAAAAATCTCACTGCTACTGTACCAGTAGGCGTAGAACGCTTAAATGACGCGTTCCTTGGGTAGATGGCACAGCTGCCTACAGACAGCGAAAATAGATTAAAATCACCTCTAATCATTTCAGAAATTGAACACGCAACATACAGTCTCCCTCCTGGAAAGTTTTCTGAACTAGACGGTCATGGTGCTGCATGGTATAAGTGTTTAAAAAAGATTTTCCCAGTTTTACTAGCTGTCCTAGAGGAAGCTCAGAAAACCAAATCATTGTCGCCGCTCTTTGCAGACACTTATCCCCGTATTCTGGAACGTCCCTCCACTCAACGCTTCACCTTCACTTGAGAGGGCTGATGGGAGCGCCGTCTCTAGGCAGGGAAAGTCACTGCATATCAGCGATAATCTGCTGCGATTCTCGAGTTGCGCAGTGCCACTTTCAGCCGAGCAGCGGTGTAGTGCTCAACTCTGTCAAGTGAAAAGTGAATTTTGAGTCGAGGAGCATTTCTGAACAGGGAGGTGACTGATGTACTCCCAAAGACCAAGAAAAGCAAAACTAAAATTAGTTCCATAATACACCCCCACATCGTTAACTAACATCGCCTATAAAATACACATGAAACTAGTTGCAGTGATTGCAGTCGGTTATTACACCAATAGTTGGGGGTCACCAAACCTGTGACATAAAGGGGCGTTCTATTTTGACGAACGCACGAACTATGAGTTGTGTACTTGAATGCTGCGAAGCTCTTCTTGCTGCTGTAGTGATATTACACCTCGATATATATAAAAAAAAATTGGCAGCATATCCACGGAATGAATGATGGAGAGTGGGGTAAAGCATTCGTCCGTCTATTCGTTCTTGCTTCCGTTCTTCCATGCGTCCGTCTGTGTGACCGTTCATGCGTCCATCCGCCTGTCCATGCGTGCGTCTGTTCGTGCGTTCGTCCCTGCATCCGTCCATGCATCCGCCCCTGCGTCCGTTCATGCGTCCATTCATGCATCTGTCTGTGTGTCCGTTAGTCCATCCATTCAAGTCTTCAAGTACCACCATCTCGCATCTTTTCATCGTATATTCTCCATATAGAAGCACCGCCATCCAGCGGACATTCCAAGGACTAAACGAGAGGTGGCACATGCACACTTTCTTACGGCTTGCGCTTCGGGTCTGCTTCCCACCTTTAACCACCTCGAGTTCATGGTATATACTAGTTCACTGTATTCATGGAATTGCGGCCTAACGTTCGCTAAACCTTTTTAAAACCAAGGATGTTACTCCCAGCGAGAATAACGTAACAACCTTTTCCTGTCAGATAGTGCTCAATGTACATGCCAATGGCTGCTAATGGGAAATTAAAGACAGGAGGATTCGGCTTTTACTTTGTTACGGCTTGCGCTTCGCATCTAGTTCCCACCTTTAACCACCTCGAGTTCACGGTATACGCTAGTTCGTTGTATTCATGGCACTGTGGCTCAACGCTCGGTAAACCTTTTCTAAAGCTTAGTTCACACTGAAACATCCGCTTTCTACAGAGACCGAAATTCCCCTGCCGCCGAAACGCAGCGTCGTTCGCACTGGACGCGCCCCGCGCCGCCGAATATGCCATCTACTACGGGGCGAACGCGGGATGGATGCGCTGTCACCCGGTTGTTGTCGCGGCTCGCAAACGCCACTACACTATCCGATGGTGTATACTTCGACGATTCTCCTACGCAAGAAGCAAGAAAAAGACAGTACTGCTTACTTTGCTGGCAAGTGGCTGTCTTGTATTGCACGAAGAGCAGAAAAACCACCGACGCCAGCGGCGCTGGTGGGTTTGTTTTGCTCTGCAAGATCGCAACAAGCTCGGTCACGCCAACAGCCAGCTCGGTCACCTCTTTCACGAAATACGGAGGCGAAGTAGGCACAGAGTAGGTTAAACTCCCGTTGGTTACAACATTCAGTTACGTGCACTGCGGCATAACAAGTGAGAACAGCTTGGCCGCCATTTTTCAAAATTCCTTCACTAGCGCTCCTATTGGTCCGCGGTGACCGATTCGGTGGCAGGCGCCGCAAAAATCGGTTCGAGAGCGATCGGCGCGGACAGGACCCTTTCGGCGGAACTCGCCGCCGCCGAACCGGATTCGGAGCACTTTTGGCGGCCGGAATGCTCAGTGAGAGCGGCCTTAAACTAAGGAGGTTACACCCAGCGAGTATAACGTAGCAACCCTTTGTTGTCAAATAGTGCTCAATGTACATGCCAATGGCTGCTAATGGGGATCGCAGCGTGCGCGTTAACTAAAAGGCGAATGCTCCTGTCTCTCAATCCCCATTAACAGCCCTTGGCATTTACGATGAGCATTATTTTTTGTCTTTCAACAACGCACAGAAGAAATCTCTCACCGGCACCACCTTGGAGGTCAAAATTTTATACTTGATACACACTAAAACGGCTACGAGGGACGAACGGGTGCCGCTATAAGGAGCTTCGTCCTTAATAGGTGTTTGACTGTGTACCGCATGATGTCCTATTTACCAAACTGCACCATATTAATGTTTAATCTGTAATTAGAGAAGGCGTATCATTTGCGTGTAAGAAATGTACCACTAGATTGATTGTTAAACGCATTCCTGCTGCACCTGTAGGGCTTGAACGTTCTGTTCGCCAGGGCTGTCTGGCTAACCGTCTGTTGTTCACCCTGTACATCAAGTGTTTGTGTTTCGCCATTAAACAAAATGACAGAATTCGCAGATTTAAACTAATAGAAGATGAGGCGAAGGTTTTGGCAAACGCTGATGGCTTGGCAGTATATTGCAGACGTAAAAGCCCATGAGAGACAAAATGGACTTTGTCAACGAATTCAGTAAAATTACCAAAAGCAGAGCGAACTGGTAGAAGAGTATGGGGTTGTGGCAGGGTGAGTTTTTTCCAGCCTCAGATACTTTTGCCAACATTCGGTGGTTTACAAGTCCTGCAAAGTAACTGGGTGTACCCATTCGATATATTATGAAAGCACTGATGAGTATTGAAATAACCAAGCACAAGAAATGCGAGAAAGAACATCAAACTGGAAAGCCACATGTATCTCAGTGTTGGCTAGCGCTACTGTATGTAATATGTTTTCATGAGCCAGTTATGGTACGTTATCCAAGTGCTGAGCTGTACACGAGTGATTCTGCAAACGTTTCACAGAATATTTGCTAGTTTCATGCCGGAATCCACTTGTGGAAGGTGGAGTAGAACGATTCTTTTCAGCAGAACTAAAAAAAGGAAGTTACCTTGTCACAACTGTTTGTGTAACAGCTAGTAAATCGCTTTCACTTTTTGGGGATGTTCAAAAGTCTCTTTTGTTAACAGTGGGCCAGTTAGGCCTTTGCCGCACACTGCCTAACCCTGTTGTTACCACTGCAAACATACCTATAGCCACGCGAGGCTTTTTAAGGAGGTTCTGGGCAGTGTTTGTTTCTTTTTAGGAAGATTTTTGAGCTATTATATGTTTTAAGTAATTAAAGAGAGAGAGAGAATAAAATGAGGAAAAGGCAGGGAGGTTAACCAGAAAATGGAGCATCCGGTTTGCTACCCTGCACTAGGGGAAGGGGGAATGGGGATGAAAGATTGGAAAGAAAGCGAAGAGGGAAATAGACGCGCGCAAAAAAATGGGGGGGGGGGGAAGCTGGGGTGCAACAGTCTATACAATAGGCCGCTGCCACGCAAAAAGTTCAGTAAGGCCTTCACTGATTTTCTGAGAGCACACAAATCATGTCGTCTTTCCAGCACTGATTGTTCAGACAAAGGTCTGTCGTCAAGGCGAGCTAACGCAGCAGCTAGTTGCCGTCTTTGCACGCTGTAACGAGGGCAGTGACAGAGAACATGCTCTATAGTTTCATCGCTGCCGCCATGACCTCAAGCAGCACTCTCTTCCATTTGATGTCGTAAATTTCACCATGTCGTAATTTTACCATGTCGTAAATTTGTAAAGCATTGCTAATGTTGGCTGTTGTTGATTTACATATGATGCCAGTGAACCAAAAATAGAGAAAAGAAAGTTATCACGGCACTATGAATAGCGTGCCCAGCATCAGTTGCCGCGAACACAGAGGTCACGGGTTCGACTCCCGATGAAGAAGCTTTGTGTCTTCTGGTCATGCGTATTTTTTCGACGTCATTCCGTGACGAAAATACGTCATTGAAGTCTTAGTGGGCCCCGCCTTAAAACACTTTCGTTTCAGGAAGTTGTCTGGTTTCCTCTATCGGTTCACAACTAAAGATGTGTAAGAGGACGGTTATAACTGTTGTATGGCATAGCACATACTCTTTGATCAAATGTGCTAATGACACTTTCCTAAACATTGCTGAGCACACCTGTGAGTGACTACGCACCTTTATGAGCGAAGTATGGAACGGTTTACTAAAAACGTTGTAGTAGACTTCACCTTGTTTTATGTGTTAATAATAAGCCTAATTATTTGTCAGTTCACTCACTGGCAAATATTTCGATCATTTATTATACACACGTTTATTATCTACTTTGATTAAGTAATCTCACGCACGCCTTGATTTCCACTTGAAACATACGTCTACAGGATTAAGAATTCAACCAACTTAAGATAAACGCTCGCAAGCAAAGAACCATATACTCACCTTCAAGGCTATCCGTTCTAGTTGTCTGATATACGGCAACCATATCCCACCTAATAGAATGAATATTTTGCAGAGGCTAAAATTTCGTATTCTGTACAAGAAACAAGCTTCAACTAGTATTAGGTCAGTGATACACTGTTTAAACCTGACATGGATTTCACTAGTGCTAATTAGCTGATACACTCTCACAATCTGACATCAACTTTTACTGTTCGAAATGCTTAATTTTTTATACAGGCATTCATATCCACGCTTCAACTTTCACAGCATCGCAAATACAGTGAATTTTCTCTTCTTATGAATTGAGTGTAACGTGTCTTAATAACATTATGAATTGGCGAATACTTGTGTTCTCAAGACCCATAGTAAATAATACCCAAGCTCGATGATCCACCCTGTTTTTCAACGTGATTACATCTGCTGAGATAACTATTATGTTTATTGTTCACTGAGTACATCTTCTACTGATAATATTGCTGCCGATTTGATCTGGAGTAATATTTTTGCACTTACCCTGTCGCAAAGTAAACCAGGTCAAGTGAACCATAAATTTCTTTTCTCTTAGTGACAAACGTCACGAGTTTCTGGAGACTCTTATAGCCATCGATGTCATCCTCCCCTACGTATTCATAGTACAGGCCTTCCTGATCCCACTGAAAGAAAAATAATTCTGCTGTGCAAAGCTGTTTCTGCCACTATAATCCAAGCTTTAAAAGCTAACAAAATTCTAAAAATCACGAATTTAAAAGTCATTATTAGTGCTTACATCAAGTATTTCATTGACACTTTCACTTCAAAGACCACGAATAGCAGGCACATAACGCGTAAAATGTTGCATTAACTGAAGAGAACGCATTCTTAAGGATTGAAATAAAAACTGCTGGCGGCCTGTTGGCTCGAATAAAATAGTTCGTGTTAAGCGAACACAGGCAGAGTGCGCGTACACACTTTGTTAATAATCTGTCGGGTTTAACGTCCCAAAACCACCATATGAATATGAGACATGCTGTAGTGGAGTGCTCCGTAAATTTAGACCACCCGAGGTTTTTTTTTTTGTTCACCCAAATCGGAACACATGGGCCTACAGCATTTTCGCCTTCATTGAAAATGCGGTAGCTGCAGCTGGGATTCAATCTCGCTTCTTGAGGGTCTGAAGCTGAGTACTTCGCGTATCTGTTATTGCATCGGCCTTATGAACCACCTGCATTTTCTTGGCAGATCATACTTTAAACAAGATTTAAATGAATTAGCCGGAAAAATACCCGAGTCATCAAGTTTATTTGCCGGAAAAGCGTGCATTAGATATAGCTCATGGGCAGGGTTTTTTTTTTTTGGGTGGGGGGCATGAAGATGACGCATAGGAAAGTCATTTCAGAATAAGGGGAATATATCCCAAGTGATTGTCAAAGAAACATCGTGTGTTTGGTATTTTTAGAAGCTGTTGTATCAGCACGTGTGTGACAAAACAATTAACAGTGACAGTGTTTCATTATAAGTAATGATCCGTCCTAATTTTCTGGGCATAAAAATGATCTCTCCGCAAAGAAACTTGCTAAGAAATGTGGCCAGTATTCTCGCACTGATAAATACTGTTCCCTAAACGTTTGCTTCACATTGATTTGCAAAGATTCAATGCACTGGCCGCAATTTAATCAGGAGCAGTTCTTTCTAACACTTTTCATGAATCTTCATTACTTCTCTATTAAGTTATAAAAATTTTTGCGAACAGAAGAATACTTTGCCTTGCTAGTAGCGTCACACTTACAGTATTTCAAGTTGTGTAGATACAGATTTCGAAAGAACTGTGAGATTTCGTGAAAGGTGTGGTAAAAAGACTGTGTGCTAAGCTATAATTAAGGATATTCTAATCACGATCTTACACCAACCAACATATGTGCGTGAGTGATCCGTAGCTTTCTTACTAACCGCTCCCAATACGTATCGACTAATAATTTCGACTCGTCTACTACACCAGTTCGCTCCGGAGTGCCACAGGGGTCTGTCCTTGGGCCATTGCTGTTCCTAATTTACATTAACGACTTGCCTAACAATATTTCTTCAACAATGCGCCTATTCGCAGATGATTGTGTAATTTATCGCCAAATATCTAATAATATTGACATCACTACCCTCCAAACAGATTTGACTAACGTGCTTAACTGGTGTAAATTACGGCAAATGGAATTAAATGTTTCGAATTGCAAGTCTATGCGCATATCACGTAATACTACCGCATGTTCAAATTATTTCCTTAACAGCACCGTACTCGATCCCGTCCCCTCTTATAGATACCTTGGTGTCCATATTACTTACAACTTATCTTGGAAACATCATATCAACTCTGTCACATGTAAGGCAAACTGGGTTCTAGGATTCATGCGAAGAAACTTTTACATGGCCTCTGATGATTAAAAAGAAGCTTCTTTACATTACGTACGTTCGTCCACATTTGGAATACGCGTCATCGATATGGGACCCTGGTAATATCACTTAAGTTAATGAACTTGAGAGCATTCAGAATCGCGCTGTTAGATTTATATTATCAGATTATCGCCGTACCACTAGCGTAACTAACATGAAATCAATTATTAACATTCCTTTACTCGCTACACGCCATAAGATATCCCGTCTCGTACTCTTAATTTACAACAACTCCCTTCTGCGTTCACTTCTAATAACCCCACCGTCATACATTTCAACTCGTACTGACCATGCGCAGAAAGTTGCTGTTCCTCGCTTCAAGACATCAACATATTCCCACTCATTTTTGCCAAAAACTTGCAAGGATTGGAACTACCTCCCACAATCAGTTGCATCCATCACCTCGCCTTGCAGTTTTAAAACATCGCTCGATAACATACTTGGTGTTGGAAATGTAAACGTTTGATTTTGTTGCTAGTTTTCTTCTATAATCTACTGGCTGTATAACATAGTTGCAGTTGACAATAGTTGCTTCCAGTGTTTAATAATGTTCTAGTGTCTTGTCTATGTATTCTTTTCTTTAACATTGTTCGTCAGTGCCCGCTCCCCTCTGCAATGCTGTAAAGCCCTGAGGGTTCAATAAATGAAAAAATAAAATAAAATTACGACGCGATGAAAATCCGAGCAATTTTGTGCAAGAAGTTCTCAATATTGCAAACAAACAAAACATTTCCACCATATCTACAAAATAAATTATTTTAAAGGAGCCTGCTCGGAGGTGAATCGGGCAATTCTTGGGGACACCATTTCCGTACGTAAGCTTCTTATCGCGCCGCCGCATGATGCGTGCGTCGAAGGCAGCGTTGTCGGGTAGGTTCCACAGCTGGCACAGCAGAGTGTTGGTCACGTCGATTGGCACCTTAACCACCTGCCCCTTTATGCCATAATGGCTGCTACCGTGAGTCAAATGTCTGACAGTTATAAATGGCATACGTATAGCTATCAGGCGTTCTTCAAACGGGTTGAGAGAGGCAGGTGAGGGAGCGGAGAAGAAAACGGTAGCCATGCGTAACACTTATCGTAAGAACTTGTCCCGTTCTTCCGTGCCTGCAAAGCGACGAGAACGAAGTGGACGTAGTCACGAGGAGGCGAGCGCGCGGGTCAACGAAAACCGACGCCTAAGGTAGCTGCGCGCCATCTAATGAGCATAATTAGAATCACAGGGCAGGCGACTGGAGAAGACCATAGAGTTCGTTTACACTAGGCACTTTTAGCTAACTGTAATACGCGATCGCGTTAGGAAGCTCATGTCGAAAAAATTCTACCATCAGCGTAGGCACTGCTGGTTGTGAGCGAAAAATTGTCTGTGAGCATAAAAATGGGGGGACCCTTACGCTTCGCCTTTAATAGTTGAATGCGATAGTGAAATTCGGCCCCTAGTGCGCCTTTCAACCGTTAAGTGCATAGTTATTATTAGGTTTTGCTACACACACACACGCACACACACGCGCGAGTGCGTGTGTATGTGTACGTTGTGCTCGCGCGCACGCGCGACCGCAACGTATCTCTAGTAATGGTACAGGTTTTCGATCTATTTAGCAGTACTTTTGTAACGACTTTATGAAAATATTGTACAGTGATATAATCAAATCGTCCTGTACTATGAATTCCAAGAAGGCGCTCCGCTGTAGTCGAGACACGTTTTTCACAATGTCTCACAGATGGCACACAGACACACACACACGCGCACACGCACGCGAATGGTATATGCAGGTTTATGATAGAAAGCAAGGCCTCCAAAAGACATGCCGTGCGCTTGTCATCTCGGACGCCATAAGAGTCTCATAATGCCTCAGAGATGGCAGCACATTATCAAGCGTGTGCTGTTTGCTTGATCAACGCCTTTGGAAAGGCATGATAAGTTTTCTGCTAGATTTTGATAGTTATTCATTTTCAGTGCTGTGTGAACGTTGATTGACAATTAATGTGCCGGGTTTCACGTCATGAAACCATCATAAGGTTATGAAAGACGCCGTAGTGGAGGGCTGTGCTGGGGTTCTTTAACGTGCACTTAAATCTGAGCACACGGGCCTACAACATTTCCGCCTCTATCGGCTATGCAGCCGCCACCGCGGGGATCCGATCCCGTGACCTGCGGGTCAGCAGCCAAGTACCTTAGACACTAAACCTACGCGGCGCGGCAGCTGTGTGAAAGTTCCTGTTTGGTTTTAGCGGCGATGGCTGCACTATCCCGGCCCTTTTCGACGTAGTATGATGGCCTCCCAAATGCGCCTACAAATCGCCGATTGGGCTCGTTTTCGTCATGACACATGTGGAACAAAATGTGTTAAGGAGACTCCTTCTACTACGTGGTATTTATATAGCGTTCTCCCGACGCCGCTGGAAGTGACATCACGGCGTTGTGGTAGGACACCTGCTTGCCACGCGAACGGCCCGGGTTTGATCTTTATTAGGACCAAAAATTTTATTCTTTATTGCATTTGCTTTATTCTCGATTTTTCGCTCATGGATGATTGTTTGGTCAGAAACAACAGTTTCAACGCTAATGGTGAAATTTATGCCACACGAGCTCTCTAACGCTTATGCGTTGAAATACAAAGAGAAGCAAATGGAATAAAGAATAACAATTTTGATCTCTTTGAGGATCTATCCCGGGGCCGTTCGCGTGGCAAGCAGGTGTTCTACCACAGAGCCACAAAGTTGCTTGCAGCTGCATTGGGAAAAACACTACTTAAATGCTATGTAGGGGAAGGAGTCTTCGTAACGCATTTTCTTCGACAAGTGTCACTACGAAAACAAGCCCATTCGGTGATTTGTAGACGCATTTGAGAGCCCATCAACCAGCTTCGAAAAGGTCGGGATAGTGCACTTATCGCTGCTAAAAACACACAGGAACTGTCGAACAGCTCTGAAAATGGACAACTGTGTTCATATATAAGAAAACATATCAGGTCTTTCCAGAGGCGTTGATCAAGAACACAGCAATGCTTGATAATGTGCTGCCGTCTGTGAGTCATTGTGAGACTCTTTATGGCCTCCGAGGTGACGAGCGCATGGTGTGCATTTTGGAGGCCATGCACCTCTTGCTTTAAGTAAAAAAACCAGCGAATACAATTCACGCGCGCGCGCGTGTGTGTGTGTGTGCGAATCATTTGTGAGACATTGTGAAAAACGTGTCTCTACTACAGCACAGCGCCTTTCTAGCAGAGGGAAGTGGCCACACTGCACAGTCACTGCATTACTATAAGTACGTCGCACTTGCGCGCGCATGTGTGTGTGTGTGTGTGTGTGTGTGTGTGTGTGTGTGTGTGTGTGTGTGTGTGTGTGTGTGTGTGTGCGTGCGTGTGTGTGTGTGTGCGTGCGTGTGTGTGTGACAATACATATAAATAAGTATGCACTTAGCAGTTCACGCATGCACGAGTGGCCGGATTTCGCAATCGCGTTCAACTCTAGAAGGCGAAGCATGAGGGTCCCCCAATTTTTTTTTTTTTTTGAGTGCCGCTCTGCACCGCCAATTTTTAGTTGTGCCACTGCGCACGCGCAAGACGGTCATGTGCTTTGTGAGCCAACCGTCGCAGCTGGCCTGGACTGTAGCGAGCGAGGCATCATGGGGTGTGAGTAAATACAACCAAAATGGCAGCCTCTTGTGCCTCAGAAGGCATAGCAGTTGTTCGACCACCACGCAAGCCCCTGATGGCCCTTTAGAACTTACTAGGATCTGTGCCTTGTCCCAGAAGTCGTCGCCGCCACTCCTTTTTAAAATCAGAGTGTGTGGTTGACGTTCTACGCAGTAATACATCGATAGCTCACACTTCAGGCCATAAAGAAGTGTCTCGAGCTACTGCTTTGATACTTTCGTCAAAATGACTCTGTAAGACCATCGCTAGTATGTTGATTGATATGTGGGGTTTAACGTCCCAAAACCACTATATGATTATGAGAGACGCCGTAGTGGAGGGCTCCGGAAATTTTGACCACCTGGGGTTCTTTAACGTGCACCCAAATCTGAGCACACGGGCCTACACCATTTCCGCCTCCATCGGAAATGCAGCCGCCGCAGCCGGGATTCGAACCCGCGACCTGCGGGCCAGCAGCCGAGTACCTTAGCCACTAGACCACCGCGGCGGGGCGGTCATCGCTAGTATGTGACTTCATATATAAAATGGTAAAAAATTCATTTTTACTAGCAGCCATATTCAGTAATGTTTTTCTGTTTTCACAAGGCAATGCGTTAAACGCGTGCCTCCGGGAAGCGCGTTCTATACATGTTTGTGCTGCCTGGAAGGCTTGAAGGCTTGAAGTCCCGCTCCACGTCAAGGTGACAAAAAAAATTAAAGAATGCTTCTGCGTCAAGCTTAAACATAACACAAAAGTAAATCAATTCACATTGTTTTCAAACAAAGATTGCTTTCTTGCTGAAGGATGAGTGCAATTTTTATTTTCGTTTTTACACGTACTTTTCACTATCATGCGTCGGTGGTGTCCCAATGGTCTAGACCGAAAGACGCTTGGCTGAAACCAACAACACGCGTTGAACTAAGGTAACCTTCAGCATTTGAGCAATACGGAGAACCGACTGCAGAATAGGTCAGCTAAATAAGCCTGCTGGCAGCACTATTGTACCCGCTGTCACTGCCGGACAGGGCGTCAGCATAGGAGGCTTGCCAAAAACTTCCTAAAAAGACATCTATATGCATGACACTCGCGCCATTTTACCTGTTTCGTCAATTGGCCTCATGCATCGTTCCATCCGACACACCGCTATTGAAGTTCGGCCTCTCTAGCACGAACTTTGGCATTGTGTGCCACGCGCTGCCAATGATGATACTGTCGTCATCTAAGTACGTGCTGTTGCGTTTCCTAAAAGAGCCTCTATTCAGGAAATCTGACCTCTCGTAGCCTCCTGATCAAAACTCCAACTCAAAGGAAGCAAAATAGCATCCTTCTGCAGCCCAACTAGATACTTTTTTTCTACAGAGCTGTAGTGGAGCCTCTACAAACGCGAAAAATTCTCGCTATCCATCAGAGTGTGATAAGTGTAAGGTAAGAAGTGGTCGATGGTTTCTGACCTTTCCTTTTGTTACGAATCTCCCATAGATGAGAAGCTGAAAGCTCTTCACTGCCTGTGACTCTCCGTGGACTCGCATAACCAGTTGCCCCTGCTGCGGTGGTCTAGTGGCTAAGGTACTCGTCTACTGGTCCGCAGGTCACGGGATCGAGTACCGGCTGCGGTGGCTGCATTTTCGTTGCAGGCGAAAATACTGTAGGCCAGTGTGGTCAGATTTGGATGCACGTTAAAGAACCCCAAGTGGACGAAACCCCACATATCTCTATCGTAACCACTGATGCTATTGGAGGAATACACGTGTAACGCGTTCGTCATGTGTGTATTACTGGAAAAGCGGGCTTTGCCGGGGAAAGAATTGTGGGGCACACTGCAATCGTCCACAAATGCCTCAAAGCTTGGCTGAGGCTCCTGAGAGATGGTGACATTTCTGCACCTTGAAGGCTTGGTAGTCTTGTGTTTCCGTGCCCTAAATTCCTAGATCGGCCTAGCCATTTCATCCGTTGAAACAAGCCGGGCCTGTCGCAAGTGCAAAGAAATGAATGCAATATTGAAAACTGAAAAAGCCAACTAATTTACCATCTAACCAGGCTATAATTACTTAACGAATCGTTGTCCTAGGAAGAATACGCACTGTAGTAGATGCTGTAAAGTAAAAACCAGGCATCGCACAATCCCGATTGCACAAGGATTTGGTCGTTCAATGCTTTAACCTCGTACAAAAGCCTGAGGCATAATTCTTCATCAGCGTCAGTGACAGCAATAACAACGTGCGTATAATGTCGCACAAGTGTGTAGCAGGTTCCTGAATATTTCAGCAAGCTGCAAATAATAGCATTGTGGACGTTTCTCCACTGCACATTATTATTGCTAATTTATAACTTATAGTGTTTACCATAGATATCTACTTATAGCAGTTGTTTTAAGCGTGTCTTTTAAAAAGGCTCTTCATTCGACCGGCGAGGTGGCTGGCATGCTAGGCTTGACAGTTCCCGTGTGGGACTCAGCCTGGTGCACAACCCATCGCGTCTAGTAACGCAAAATAAAGTTACTCTCCTTCCTTCCTTCTAGAAATACTGTTCTATTTTTCTCTGTGACTGTGCTGCGCATTCTGTGCAAGCGTGGTGGTTTTTTGTCAGGGGCCATAATGTGGCAAATGATCTAGTAAAAGGTTGCCAACTGATGCGAGCTCAAAGAGAGGAGCATTGCACAAAAAAAAAAAATTGGAGGCGCCAAAAAATATGTTATGGCTGTAATGTTTTACGGAACTGTTTTTTTATTGCTTGTACTTATGCCTCAGAGTCTAATGAAGAGTGAATCACACTTAATGTCTCTCAGCACTTTCTGCAGTTTTCAATTCACGCAAGCAATAGAGTAAATGGACATACCGCATGTATGTCCCAACATCATTCTACGAATTGAAATTGGTACATCCGAAGCGCATGCTTGGAGGGGTAGGGGAGGGATGCATTTGTAACCCCACGACATGCTGCTTGTTCACATAATAGTGCATAAAAGTGAATACTTCTGTAATAAAAGCACAATTTCGGGCCTCTACTTGTTGCAAATGTTATTACGGTACTTTTTTTTTTAGTTTAAAGAATGCATTTCTTTCTCAGCTGCATTTCAGGTTCATAATTCCTTGATGTTATTAACAGACGATAATATTACGTAAGCTTCTGCCTAAAATGTGCTTCTCTGGGTATATAAATCCTTTTATAGTGAATTTATAAAGACTTTTTTAAACATGGTTTAAAAACACGCATGAGAAACATAGAATTCGCGTATAAAATATCAGACTCATAGCCCTTATAACCTTAACAAGGGCAAAAAGAAACACACCCATATGCAACAGACAAGAGACAAAAGCGGGCTACTGCTTTCCTGCAGCCACACTGTCTATGCATTTCTTGGTTGTGTGAGTGGTAGTGCGTGATTGTTGAGATGGCTAGGTTTACAATTATCAACTAGGCCACGTCTCTTTGTTAAATGACTGGAATACACGCGCAACTTTCCTGCGATGCCAACGCTAACGGCTATGCCCAAATGCACCGGCTATGCCCAAATGCACCTAACTATTATCCCAATAGTATTACTACGTTAAAACTCTTCGTACATTAGAAGTAATATTTGAGTATAAAGTGATAAATATCCACTTACTTCACTGAATTCGAGTCCTCGCAGCACGATGCTGATTTCTGGGTCTCTAAGGGCGCGATAACGTATGTTGACCTAATGAATTCAAATGAGCATTTATGAGATGCTTGTTCACGAAAATCATTTTTTTAAATGCTATAAAGACCCACTTACAACTTCAATCGTTACCATGAAGTAAAAAATTGCATGCTCCTTTTCATGAAATGATTGCCGTAGCCGTGAGTCTACTACCACAAGTATTTCCGGGTAAATTTTCTGGACGTTATACTTTGCTGTAAATTAATCATCGGGGCTTAGTAAAACTGACAATTTTTTCTGAGTACTGTACTTACTTGAATCGAAACGAGTCCCACCACCTGCCGCGCGTTCAGCAACTCTAATTTTGTCATTTAATATTTTGCCTGTAAAGCAAAGAATTAACTATGACGTGCAGCACACTACATCTATTATGTTCTCTAAATACTTGCTTAAGAAATAAGTCACGCGTGTATTTAGTGTGGACCTTAATAGAGTGTAACAAGGGTGTGAAATTCGAATCACTTCACAAAGTTACTTGCGAAAAAAAAAATCACTAATCGCACCTATACATTCGCGTGTGAAGACGATGTTTAAAATGTGGTGTTTTTAAACAATCCCTCTTGTACATGAAATGGTTGGGGAAACTACATTTGTCCTGATTTGCAGAATTCAATGAGAAAGCACCTCTATCTGAACATTTTCGAAACGTATGTACACCCTTAGCAGAATTAGTATAGTCACTGATAACCACTGGTGGCTGATAACCACGACTGGTGCTCAGCCGTGGCTAACGAGTTGTTTTTGTATTTTCCAGTATGCGAACTTACAGCAGCATTTCTGCCTATAGTGTGACCTAACGCTTCGAATATTGTTGATTATATCATCCCATTCGGGTGGATGCACTGTTCCTGTTAGCGAAATTGGGGCATATTGAGCACGCCATAAAATCACCTTGTAATGCAAGCATCAACTCGTTTCTCAATGAGCAGTGCATCAATGTGGGAAGTACAGAGGCACTTCTCATGTACTGCAATATACTGATGCGATCATGAGGGCATACTAATACGCACCGTGCACATCGACGGAGTCGCTGTCTTCGATATTTTCAACGAGATGGGCTTGGCGGCCATCTGCGGAGCGTTCGGCAGTTTCGATGGGCCTTATCTTCAAGTTAGGTCCAACAACACCTTCCTGCACGTGGTAATGTATTTCATGAACGCATTCATGAAGTGCTAATGAGGGGCACTTTAATTAACTTGATAAGAGTCACCACCCAGTGCCGCGCATTGTGCCTGTTGTATATAAAGCAGGTCACCATTATATACATCTGGCTTTGGTATTTTTTTTATACGGAGTCCTAATATAAATCATTCAGCAAGTATCAAGTAATATGTCACTGCATGACTGTACGTATGTTCTTGAAGTTAAATATTAGGAATGGCTTAACATAACATGCAAATATTGCACTTTTTGTGCAATATCGACTAGAGTTGACAGTCTGAGGCTAGAACTTTTTGCCCGTAACAATAGGAACATAGCATTGAAAATGGAGTTAGCTTCCATGTTGTGAACTGCCGTTACTTGGTGAATTTTTCATTTTCTCATGTTATTAGACTTTCAACCTGGTGTGGCAACGTTCGCTCAGAGTATTCTAGATTAACGTTAAATTGTTCGAAGAAAAGGGACGAGAAAAGGCGTCATTCTGTCACACCAGCTGGAGGAAGTGTCACGCCATCCAATGTAGTATGAGTATTTGGTATATCACCGGCAGCTCTCTCGTCACGTTGATGTTTACTGCTTGGGTGATCTCTGCTTAGAATAATGATCACGAGTGAAATGGTCATGTGAAGGGCTTACAAGGATCAGTTCATGTGTGTGTCGATAGGAATAGTTGAAAGTGTGTTGTGGTGGCCTTTGCGCAGTGTGCATTGCTAAATGGGGCTGAGTTAGTTGCTTTCGATGCCCATGCATTCATGCTAAGACCTACTTTCATGAACCCATCGAGCCATTTGGTGCATCTTCATAGTTTCGTTCGCACTACGGTGTTTGGCAACGATGCTCTCGAATGCGGTACGCAAAATTCCATGAAGCGAAAGGTAAGAGCTGCAACAGGTTGAAAGATAGATCAAATGTCTTCGATAGAACTCAAAGAGCGACATCACATCCCATATTAGTATCATGCTCTAAGACAACCTAGCTGATGAGTCATGCATGTCTTTCAAATTTTAACGCGAAAGCATTAAAGAGCCCATTTCGCTGAAACAGAAAAAAGAGTGCAACTTTCTTTAGGTATAACAGGAACCTTGGAGCGTTTCTACTTGGACCTTACTTCCAGGGCTCTACCGGTCTTGACCGCCAGCTAAAATTGCTCGCCCGCTAGAACTGGCAAGTTGTGCCTCCCACTGCTCTGTACTAGCTGGTGTGAAAGGTCAGCTAAGAAAGCTTTAGTTACTTGGAAACTCCGGCATAAGCGTCGGCGCCGGCCTCATTGGTTGTGAGCGAGCAATTATCTTGTCCTTGACCAAAACATTGGAAAAAATGCAAATAAAATAAATATGACACTTTCCGGATTTAAGTGAGACTAGAATCTAAGCCACCTACGTGGTAAACAGGTGTTCTACCTCAGATCTATATCACTGTTTCCAACTGTCTTAGAAACAAACAAAAACGTGGCTGGTCCCTCCTTTTAGGAGTTGGTATAACACGAATATGAATATGTCTTGGGAGAGATTGTGAAGCATTCCTTGTACACTGTTACACAACAAGGGCCAAGTAATAAATGCTACAGCACCAGCGACGAATGACAAGCAGCTGAACACTTGCAGCGCACACCTCAAGCAGAAAGCCTGAAATGAGCAAACACAAGGCAAGTGAGGACAAACAACTGTCATAGCTTGACACTTAAAAAAACACTGATGATAAAGAAAGACGCACGAAACGAACACACAAGTATACACAGTTCGAGCGCAAACAACTGTGGATATTCTTACTTCATCGTGTGTAAGCAGCGCCCTCTTTTCGTAAACGCGGCCGTGGCAGCAAGTTCGTGCTTTCCGTAACCATTGTAAATTCGAAGCGAAAATGCAGTAGAACCACAAGAGCTACAAAGCGCCCGAATGCCGAGATAAGCACGCGCGCGAGTGAGCCACCACGCCAGAGAATATCTACACGCACTTTACATCGCCGTGTGTAGGTGGCGCCCATAGCGACGAGTGGGGTGGCACGACACGATGACCTTTAAGGCTAGACCACACGTACCCGTTGCAGCGCGTCGGCGCGCGTCTTTTTAACATGGTGTCGCACCCTTTATTATAATGGAGAGAGACAATGCGCAGCTTCGTGGAGCCACGCGACTACTCTCTGTATAAAAGTCTCACCCCTAAAAGCGTCGTATTGCGTCAGCGCGTGTTGTTTTGACTGGGCGCCGATCCCTCTGTCATATGAAGCGAGAATGCGCACAGCTTCGTGTAGTCACGCGCCCATTCTCTCTGTAGAGAGAGGGCGTAGCGCCATGTTAAAAAGACACGCGCTGACGCATTGCAATGAATACGTAAGGTCAGGCTTTAAGTAGAGGGTGAGGTGACGCGTCAAAAGACAGCGCGCTGCCACGGATACGTGGCGTGAGGCCTTTAGAGCGTGGACGCCCTACGCATGCCCATCGTACCATCTCGCTATTTATTACTAAAACGCGCTAAACTAACCATGCTCTGGGGACCACTAGTGGAACATCGTGTATACAGATGGCTCACTGTTGACATGCTTGAGAACGTTCGCGCTGTGGCATAGTGAGTAGCGTCACGCGCTGAAGAGCCCGAGGCCACTGCTTTGGCGCCCAGCCGTGAAACTTTTCCTTTCCATATCTTGCTTTGAAAATTATCAGCGTATATTTCAGAACGTCAAATTCATAACGGCAATACGTCAGTGGACAGTGGCAGACTCCGGCATTACACAGTTTCGTGTTGTAAAAAAAAACACTACATGAATGTTCTGTAGTGGGGTAGTCCCCTCAGCGCGTATATATTTGCATGAGAGAAATTCTAGAATGACATCATGCTACAAAACAGAATAATTGGCGCAACAAACAGTTGATGTTAGTCTGTCCAGCCATTACAAAGTGCGAAGCCTCGTGAGTGCACGTGGGTTTCTACAGACGAGTGGTGCGTACTTCACCAACTACTTAAAGGAAGAACTATCACGCAATGAGTGCTCCGCAACTGTATATGCATTATAAAATTTAAGATCGTTTGAAATGATGAATTTTACCTGCCCAAAAGTTTCTTTCTTTAGACACGGTTAAAGGCAATGAGCACGACGCCCGATTATGCTATGGCGTCCTTTTCCTCAAACCGAAGCTGAATGATTCTCCAAGATTTTTAAACGTTTAATATATCGGAATTTTATGCGCTAAATGAACAATATGATTATGAAACACGACGTTGAGCGGAAATGCTGATCACTTTTTGATCAATTGGGTACGTTAGCCTGCATTATAGTACATTGTAATACCTGCACTATGCTGCATTTTTACCACAACAATTAGACAAAATATTTGGTATAACCTTACTCAAAGGAAGTAAACCAATCGCATATGTTTCATGTGGTCTGACTGTGACGAAACAGCATTATTGTCTAATAAGAGCAGTTTGAAAGGAACTGCACAGTAGTGAAAAACTGAATGCTCAATTGATATCATTAAATTGAAGCAAAATGACATTTTCTAGGATATTCATTCGTAGTTTTTATGCACTATCCTTCGGCAGTTGCGCGCAAGGACGGAGGATAGTAATATTAGCATATTTTCGCAGTAAGCTCTTTTGTGTGCAACACCAACATTTCTCATTTTCACATTACGAACCTTTTCGGATCGTGGGTGTATTTAGCCCGATAGGGAATATTGAACTAAAGAAAAAAAAACTACTGTAATAATTTGATTGATTAAAAAGTTTTTCGGGTGTACTTGACTAAACTATTCAAAAGTTTCGCCGCTTCCTGAAGGAAACAATGACGCGCACTGTTAATAAAGCATCGGACACTCTTCACAGATTGCCAGTATCCTTCTTAGCCCTATAATATTGGGCGAATTCTTCCTGCTAAACGTGCAACGTCTGCGGCACCGCAGAAGACATCGACCATCACCTATGCTGTTGTACTAGTTTTGCCTTTGAGAGACAAAAGCTTTCTGACGCGTTTCGACTATTGCACGGCCAGCCACCCTCTGTGCAGTTTGTGCGGTATTGTGTGGTCGGCCACCCTCTGACTATCCTTGTCCTTCGTCAGCTCAATAGGCAGCCACAGCCCTCTTCCTTTTTTTTTTTTGAGGACTACGGGCCTATATCAACGCCACCGCTGCATACGCGCTAGGCCAGGTACTGACAATTTTCTCCTCTCTTTCTCTTCTCTTTCTTCTTCCTCTCCTCTCGGTTTCATACTCCCCCTTTTCATTCGCCCAGCGTAGAGTACCAAACCGGGCATGTGCCTGGTTAACCTCCCTGCCTTCTCTTTTTTTGTTCTCATCCTTTCTTCCTTCCTGCTCAACGTAAAAATTAAAAAAAAGACAACGCTCTGAAATTGATTTCTAGAATACGAGAGAAGCTAGGGCAGTTTAGTCTATACACAAAGAACAGGTAGCAATGGCCAGGTGCTCTCAGACACGAAAAATAAATAGCAGTAGAATGTGCGTGCTTATGTGTAAAAACACGCGCCTCAGGAGAGTTTCCATGCATTATACAGCCTCACAATTGTACAGAAGAAACTACGTCTTTATAATTGACGCTTCTAAAGAGGCTGTTTCACAGTCACGTGTGTGAGCGCTTCCGTTGTGAGGTGCCTGAGCAGTCTTGCTAAAATTACACGGCCACGCACTCATCCTTGTTAGTCCTTGCTGGCAATGGTTTTGTAAATGTAGGCGTTCTTTGGAGACGCCTTCATGAAGAGCAGAAATTGTTGAGCCCGCATGCATGCACGAAGAACATTTACCAGTCTGTCTAGTATGACAGCGCAGGCCAGACCCGCCATCTACATTCTGACGCGTTGTCACAGAACGAGTGAGACAACAATTATCTCCATATTTAGCAGTGTTTAATAGGAACGTCGTTTATTATTAGACGTTTTTTGGGCTTAAATATAAGTTTGAAGAAACAAAAACCATTTTTACCAATTTGGTTATTTATGGTTATTGATTTGTTTCGAAAGAAGACATGCGTTTCTTGTGAACTCCAAAAATATCACGGGATTTTCGTGTAGCACAATTACGTGGAATTGATGCTAGAATGCGCTGCATAATGACTGGGTTTACAGCTCTACGGAGAGACCACAACGTGACACATACGATTTCCAGAGATTAGCCCTGCGATAAGAAATACTGATCTTGCAGATACACGTGTTGAACACTCGCGTTAAGACAGAAGGCAGCCTGCTCTGTTTGACAACGAATATTAGAGTAGCTGCAGTCACATTATTCCCCACAATCAATTGAATTTTTCAGTACTGCACTCAGTACAACTGTGGTTGGGTGGTAGACTTCTTTACATGTTATCGGTATCGTTGTAATCACAATAAATGGCGGGTGCTAAATAAATTGATAAGTAAACAAAAATATTGGATACAATTGTGTTCGAATTTCAGTTTTCTTCCTTTTTTGTTAGTTAAACGCATGGAGTCTCTTATGCACTAGAGAAAATTATGGCACTAATGACTATGCGAGCTTCAATTCAAAAAGCTTCAGTGAGCATGAGAACGATGGGTAGTACACAAGTTTGTCTAGTTTTGATGCTTTCCACTCGATTTGGCTTCGCTAGATTTAAAGTCGTTTTTTCACGAGACAACAATCGGCAACGCTTCAGCAGTTGCACTTCGCCGTCTTAGTTTTTCGGCCTACCAATTAGAATCAGATAACGAAGTTTGCAACGGCACTTTCTTTATTTCTAAAGAAAATTAAGACACTACAATAAACAAAGCCAGAAGTGCGTTTGAAGCCCGCAAGCCCTAAGACGAGGCAAATTTGTGTAGATCATTTTCACTGCACATCATTTTCATGCTTACTGAACGATCGCTGCTCAAGTCTTTCTTCCAGTAAATTTTTAATAAATTTACGGTTAAACACACACTCGATGGAAGGTATTTTTGCCATGAAACGAACGTGCGCAATGCTCACTAACCACTTCATTATGACCTACAGGTATGCAAAGTGTCTGCTTCATTCTTTGATATCATACTGACAGTCCAAAAAGAAAGAGTCATATTTACAGTCTCCTGTATAAGTGTAGAAGCATACGATGTGTTCATACCACTTTCAAGGTCCCGCCTTCGTCAAAAAGCATCACTGCTGCCAGTCGTTTTTCATCGTGATAAAAGTTATTTTGCAAATCGCGAACATCATACTGAAAATAAAACGAAACAATGGTAATATGCTAGTAAGTTCAAAGAACAATGACTTTAGTAAATTATCTACATCACCGTTGGAAAAGATCTGAATAAAACGAAAAAAAACCTAAAACCAGCAGACTATGAAGCTAGGAAGTTTAGAGCAGAAATTATTTGTAGGCATAAAGTATAGCGCAGCAATCATGTCACAAATGAATATGCATTAAGGCAGTTGAAAATGAACCAGCTGATATTCAGACCAAACCTAATACCGTCTAATAACGCGTCCAATGCTGACATCCACCGGTGGTCTATTCCTCGACCAGCTTCGCTTCCACTTCCTCGTGGGTATATATATTCTGGCTCTATTCTGAGAGTGTCGAGAAGCGTCGCTTGAAGTCATCGCAGTGATTGTGAAACCCCCTTACTGTTTTGGCCTTTACCTCGTAATAACCACGTGCGCTTAAAAGCTGTCGAACAGCCCATGCACTCTATTGAATTTTAAAGTCAGCTGGAACGAGACCATCGCTATAAATGAATACTCCATATAGTTTGTTCCCCTCTTTCGTTTATAATGAGGCAATGTAAATTAAAACACAGGTAAGCACTTAGCAGGAATTCGGTCTATGTCTATAACAACCGGTCAATAGACCTCAAAGCTAATCAAAAACGGCACAGCGGCTGTTCTGAATTTTGGTGTCTCCGTTTTTTTACATTGCCATGCAGACGTATTTGATGCGACACCAAACGTTTTTTTAATATATTGTACACTCAATTGAATATTCGCAAAGAAAAACTGTGTGGTATTTTTTAAAGGTGAAAAAATGTAAGATATACATCCCAAACAATCGGGTCAAATAAACGCAGCTGTTTGGCCGGCTCTACAAATCGCATTATAGTTATTGTAGTAGCCCTTACTTCCAATTTCATTATCGTTCTCATCTTGTTGCTCTTAGTTTTGTGATCCATTCTTACAATACTATTAATGCTGAACAGCTACCATTCATAGGCTGCTGTATTTTTTCTTAGACAATCCCCCAGAATAGGTATGTGCCGACGCTACCAGCAAACAGAGAAAAACATTTATTGAATGAAGGTTGTGAGTGAAGCAAACACAAAGTTATCCAGGCTACCAGCAAACAAAGAACAACGGCCGTTTTGCCTGCTAGACAATGACAATTTTCTACTTTAAATAATTTGTATATCGATTTGCGCCATTTTAGTGGACGTGCGGGGTGCAACGCAAGAATGAACTCTGCTGTGGACGTGCCCTCAACAGCCCCGCAATGTCATCAGAAACCAGCACTGTGGCTAGCACATCTGAATAAAGGAGCCACTACATAGTGCTTCTAACGAGTCGTCTATATTGCTTCTCGAGAGGACGCTCCTAAATTCCGCTTGGTGGCACGACAATTCATGTGTATTGTGAATATGGTGACGCTTTCTGAGCTCGTAAATAAGTTGGTCAAGTTTAGCTAGTAAGTTTTGTCCTTGTTATGACTCCCTGATCTTATCGTGTACTCCATTTCACCTTCTTAGACGACGACGAAGTGTCGTTTTAATAGAACCCCAGTATTCTTGTCTTAAATTTTCTATTTGTTTTCCCGCAAATTTTGACAGCTACCGCTCTCTCCTTGCGAGAACGAATAAAGAAGCCTCTCAGGATTTTCGAGATGGAGAACCGCTACGTCTGGCAGCGGCTAGGAAACGTGGGACCACCTCAAGTGGCACAGACAGCGAGGCAACGGAGCTCTACTCCGACGGCTTCGAGTCATCGGATGATGACTACACAGTCGTCATGAGCCGCAATGCAAAAAGGAGACTACTAAGAACATCGTCGATGGCGAGTTTATCCACTGTGCAGGATACCGCGCAGCGTTGGCCAAACACTATACACTTCATGGCTATGGACCCTTCAGCCAACCTACGGCGGCTTAACAGGCAAGTCCTCTCTGCATACCTCGAAGGACTCGCTCCAAATGAGATTAAAGACGTCAGGATCAACTAACTGAAGAATGTTCTGCAAGTTCATGTTTTACACCGTAGTGTGCTGCAAAGCCTACAGAACATCTCGGAAATCGACAGTCACTGTTAAATCAGTGATCCCCACTGACTGAAAGGGCAATGTTCGCGTCATTTATGACGTGGACATTCCCGCTGATTCCCGCTGACGGTTACCGCTGACGATTTTCCAATGTTGGTAAAGCCAACTACAGACGACATCCTCATCAAGCACATCACAAGGCTTGGCCAGTCACGTTGCCTGAAGATTGTTTTTGAGGGAGACAGTCTTCTCCCACACGTCAAAGTTGGCCACGTTCGCCACCAGGTCCGTTCATACATACCGAAGCTCCTACAATGCTACAGATGTTTCGAGATTGGACATGTCAAAGGAGTATGTACCAGCAATGCCGTGTGCCCGCGGTGTGCCGAACCTCATTCAGAAGACACCTGCGACACAAATGCATTCAAATGCTCCAACTGCCACGGCGCTCATAAAGCGTCTTCGAAAAAATGGCCGCTAGAGCGAAATGAACCCGCGGTGCTCAAACGCATGGTGCGCGACAATTCAAAGCGCAGAGAAGCCGCTACTACATTCAGGCGACGTCGGCGTCACCACAGAAGATCATCACGAAACGTGACATCTGCCGATAGACATGTCATTTCAATCAAAAGCAACTGGCCCCCCATCATCAAGTTCTGTGAAGACGGATACACAAAAAACAAAATCAGGGTCAACACTCCCACCTCTTGAAGAGTGACCATCCCTTGCACGAACACAGCCTGTTTTGGAGATGCATTGAATCCCGCCAACCTTGATGCTTCACGAACCATCGATGAAAAGACAACTGAGGATTTCCAGGTTATTAACATGTTGCGAACCCTCATGAGCGCAATGCGCATGCTCGTAAGCTACATGAACACCCCATCAGCGCAGACCGCACTCCAGGTGCTGGACACTTTGAGTCCGATGCTTGCAGCTCCAAGGTAAAACCCCGCGACATGTTATCCTTTCGAGAGGAGGTCAAGAACGCATCTGTTCTTCAGTGGAATGCCAGAGGACTTAGGGCGCGTATGTTCGAGTTCTGGCAATATGTATTCACGAACCAGTTCTCCATAATCGAGATTTGTGCACCGAACTTGTCAGCTCACATGAGACTGTCTGGATATGAGTGCTTTATATCTTCTACCCACGGAGAGCGCAGCAAGGTCGTTGTGTTCATATGGCGCGACTTGATTTACGTTCATCACCCTGTACCCACTGCCGAAGAAAACCAGTACGTTTGCCTAACAGTAAAAAACAAGAAGACCACATTCCCAATCATCGGAGCCTATTTACTTCCATCAAGTCGTCTAGACTGTAAGCGTTTGCGCGGAATTTAAAATTCAACTCTCCAGCCATCGGTGATAACTAGAGACTTCAATGCACACCACTACATATGGGGAAGCTCCAGGATCAACACTGGAGGTAGACAGTTAGTGTCTTTTGCTTCTGAATGTGAACTTATCCTCGTGAATGACGGCAGCCCTACTTATCTACGCGGATCGGCCTATAGCAGTTGCCTGGATTCACTTTCGTCCCACGCTCGTTAGACAGCAGAGTGCACTGGTTTTCGGATTTGGAAACAAGAGATAGCGACCGCATTTCAAAATACCTGAATATTGACAGCTTTCCAAGTCTCAAGTCGTCGAGAGCCGCCCAGTGCACCGATTGGCAAAAATAGAAGTTAATCATGGAAGACTATGTCGGCCGCTCACCCTTCAACCTAGAGGACGCAATAAAGAGTGCCCTACAGGCCACCACGCGTTCGCTTCCGGTGAGCTCATCTCGCAGTGATATGAACATTGATCTCGAGAAACTCCGAGCGATTCGTCGTCGTGCAGAACGACGTTATAGACGCAAGAAGTCACTTGACGATCTGAGAGTGGCCAGACGCACACATAAGAAAATACAGCGTCACATAGACAAGTTGGATAAGCAACGATGGGTATCTTTTTGCGAGTCTTTGGATCCCAGAAATCCTTTGTCACTAATCTGAAGGACTGTCTGGGGTCTTCGACCAACCATTACTCAGCGCTACCTAATAAAAGCTCTGGCACTTCACTTACGCTGCGAAGAGATTGATGTCGCAGATTCTTTCTGTCGAAGGATTGCCTGCGAGGCAAATTCAACTGGGACGAAGACGCCCGACATTTCTGTATCCTCACGTGATCCCCGCATGGAGTGTTCGTTTTCAATGGACGAACTAAAGGCTGCGCTTGCTTTGTGTAGACGTTCTTCAGCGCCAGGACCTGACGGCATCACTTACCGCGCTCTGTGTCACCTAGGAGATCAAGCTCAGAAGGCACTCTTGCTGCTGTACAACGACTCCTGGCAAACTGGCGTGGTTCCACCGGAATATAATTCAAGTCACTTGATGCCACTTGTCAAAGCCGTCAAGTCACCTTTGGACATTTCCTCTTACCACCCGATTGCCCTCGCGAGCTGTGTAGGAAAAGATATGGAAAGGATGATCTAAACGTGCCTGGAATGGTACTTAGAGTTCTACGAAATATATCCAGATGCCATGTCTGGGTTCAGACGAGGCCGCTCATCAATTGACAATGTAGTTGACTTGGTGACATATGCAGAGCACCAGAAGGCCTGCGAACGGTTATCTGCTGCTCTGTTTCTTGACGTTAAGGGGGCATACGACAATGCCACCCACGAAGCCATTCTCAGCGCATTAGAAGGAGAGGGACTTGATGGCAAGATATACACGTGGGTTCAGAGCTACCTACAGAATTCACGTGCAGACAGAGAATGGCCCGACACCCGAGTATTACTCTAGCCGAGGAGTCCTGCAGGGCGGAGTGCTAAGCGCGACGCTGTTCAACCTAACACTCTATTGGACTAGTTGGCAAGCAACCAAGCAGTGTACGACTTTCCATTTATGCTGATGACATCTGTGTGTGGACATCAGGTGTGACTCGACTTCAACTTCGCGCTCGACTTCAGAAGGCAGCATCAGTGACATCGTACCACTTACGCAAACAAGGGCTTGAAATCGCAAGTGAGAAGTGTGCAGTCGTGGCTTTCACCAGGAAACCAATGTCCGCTTACGACATATCAATTAACGGGCAGTAGGTGTCATGCAGCCGGAGTCATAGGTTCTTGGAAGTCGTAATGGACTGAAACCTGTCTTGGACCCCACAGGTAAACTACGTGAAAAAGCGGCTGACCGCCATTTGTCACCTGTCCAGGTTTTTGCTGGCAAAAGTTCGGGAATCTCTGTCGAGTCTATGTTACAGCTGTACAATGTATTCTTTATTGCATTCCTGCGGTACAGCCTACCTGTTATATCTAACACATGCAAAACGAACCTGCGCACAATCCAAAATAAATATTCAAGCCCAGGCGCTTAAGATATGCCTTGGTTTACCCCACTGCGCATCGACAGCTTAAACAATTGCCATTGCAAAGGACTACTCGATCATGACGCACATCACCATTGAAACAATGCGTACGTACCTCAGGCAACATGCTAGGAATTCTTCCCACCACTTAGCAACCCTCGCTACTGAGAGGCCTCGCACGAAATTTAGCGCAATTGTCTGGGCACATCGTGCGTCGTTTACGTAATGTTTCGCGCCTGCTGAGAAACTGGTGTATCCTCCGTGGTGCGTGACACTTCCGCAAGTAGGTCTTTAAATTCAAGGAATACAGAAAAAATCAAATTTGCCTTCGTCAGCCCTAAAACAATTGAGCTTGCACCTCCTGCATGAAATATACAATAACCACGTGCACATATAGACCGATGGTTCAACCACAGCGTCTGGTTCTGGTGGTGCTGTGGCGATTCCAGCTAGAGGAATCACTCTGCAAATCAAGCTGTCACACGTCACTGCGTCAATGACGGCAGAACTTGCGGCTTTGTGTGGTGCCCTATAGTACATAATCCCAGAGACCGAGTAAATTGGCTGTGTTTTCCGACTCGAAACCAGCCCTACTAAACATGTAGTCAGTCCTTCGACGAGGTTGCCATGAACAGTTAACTTACGATGTTGTCAAGTTCTTCACCACGTCACAGAAACAGGCCACGAGGTCAAGTTTCAGTGGCTACCTAGCCATTGTGAGATCAGTGGCAATGATTCCGCAGACAACACGGTACGCACTTCGCACCAAGAAGAGCTCACCCTTCCAATTCGTTTGTCAAGGACTGACGCTGCAAAAAACTTGATCACCTGGCACGTAGTCTGTGTCTGCTGGTGTGGAACACCCCTAGCATAAGACGTACGAGACTCTACCAAATAAACCCTCGACTGGAACTACGACCTTCATTCGGACTTCGTCAATTTAAAGCTTCGCTTTTTTGTCGCCTTTGGTTGGGGGTTGCCTTCACAAAAGCAAATACAACCCTCATCGAATTAACCGACAATGCGGATTGCGACGTCTGCTGCACCAAAAAAGACATGCCATTGCCCTCGATATGCCATTGCCCTCGATTTGCTTCTGAAAGACAGAAGCTTTCGGACGCATTGCAACAATTGGACGATCGGCCACTCTCTGTGCAGATGCTACACTGCAACACCATCCTCGCCTTTCGTCGGCTCAAAAAGCAGTCAAAGCTGTCCTGTGCTTTTTGAGGACTACAGGCCTACGTGACCACCTTTAACTTTTGTGTAGTGCCACCGCTGTATACGCGTCAGCCCATTGACTGACAATCCTTTTTTTTCTCTTTCTCTTCTCTTTACCCTCTCTCTCATTTTTATTCCCCCTTCCTATTTCCCCAGCGTAGGGTAGCGAACCGGGCATGTGCCTGGTTAACCTCCCGCCCTTCTCTCTTGTTGTCCAACTCTTCCCCCCCCCCCATTTCAACTTACTTCACGTGTAGACTTATCAATTCACTTGAAAGGCAAGTTTGAGCAACACTGTGCTTCTAGAAAACTGCTGTGCTCTTATTTTCATTACCACGTTGTCATCTACCAACCTATTCGTGTACTGTACCACTTGGTCAGCTCCCTAGCAACCTTGGTTCATTTCAACAAAGTTGAGTACTCCACTTCTGAGTGAGGTGCGTTGAGTTCATGTTAAGTGGTTGCGTAAAAGTAATATTTGCGAGCCCTGCTTACGTTAGACACGCCCTCAGTTCATTTCGGTGGCCATTTTTCTACCGCTAACCCGAGTAGGATAAAATATGCAGGTGACAATGTAGAAAGGTGAAAGATGCCATTAGAAAAAAAAATTAATTTTCAGCCTGGCATGAAAACGCACGCCCATTACGTTGAAGGTCTTGAAAGATACAAAGCGTTGGAGGTCTGTTCTGGTTAAATTTAGTAATCTTAATAATTTTTTGTAAGCTTCATGCTACAAAGCTCCCCATAAAAAGTGCCATGCTTTTACGCATTGCACAAACACGTGTTCACAGTATTTGGCGCAGCATCTAGTAAAATGTTTGCGTCTACTCGCAACCCGCTTTCGAACACAAAGCACAACGTAATTTGGTACTCACGTATTTGTGCTCCGGAACTCCATCGCGATAGGTACGTACGAAAAATTTTTCATGAAGTACGGAGCTGGGTTCAAGGTCCAAGGTAATCTCATCGTTTATTTTCAAGACTCTTGTGTTCTCTTTACGTCCATCAAAAACTTGCGGATACGTAACAGCTCGATATTTGGGCACTGAATGTTATTAAAAGAGAATCATGTTTTATGCGTCATCATGACTAACTACTGCAATGGTGCAAGTGAGTTCTGCGGTAACCCGCAAGGTGTCACAACGGATAAAGAAATAAAATAAAGAAAAAAACAACCATGCGTTCGTAGCAAGAACACACAAGAATATCTATCTGAATGTCACAAAAAAGACTATTTAGTTGCCCCTAAATGTGTCCTGGTTCGGGTTTCGAACCCCCGACCAACGCTTTTGCGGGTTGGTCACCCTACCAATCTAATTATCCTGGAAGATAGATATTGATAGCTCAAGGCCGAATTCATTGACAAATCAAACCACAATGTCAAAAGGCGAATAAGTTTCATTGAAACCCGTAAAATGGCAGAAAGGCTCTTTAACTCTTTCACGTTAAATTGTCGAACAGCGTGCCTTAATGTGAAGTGAACGTCTGCACGTTTCACCACATAGTTTAGATATCACATAGCAAAGCTCGATCAATCGATATGTGGGGTTTAACGTCCGGAAACCATAATATTGTCAGGTGCGTCCCGCGAAAAAGACGAAGGCGACAGCGCATACGCGCATCTGCACGCTTTATGCAGAACGCAACAACGAAAAAGACCAGAAACTCTCTCTCGCGCGCGGTTATTAAAAAGACCGACCCGCGGCTGTTTTCTCAGCGTCTTCAAATAAGACCTCTGTCTTCACGTCGCGACACTGGTGGAGGTGCTGGAGCCTGCAACCTGATGCAAGAAAGCGTTGTGCGGGACCGTACACCCAGCACGGAGCCTCAATATCTTGTTACGACTCCAGCACACCGATTAAGCCGGTGCCTACTAGGCCTAAGTCCAGAACTCTTGACGGCATCTCCTGTTACCAACATGGCGGCCTCTTCAACGCCTGTGAATCTTCCTGCGGCCCTGACGACTCATCCTTACCAGGTAACTTTTGAGACTCCTCCTGTTCCCGAAGTCTTCCGTGGAGAACCGTATGAAGATGTCGAGGACTGGCTCGACCAGTTCGAGCGAACCGCTGTGGTGAATCGTTGGAGCGTGCAAGAAAAACTTGGCCGTGCCTACTTCGCAATGGCAAATAGCGCTCGCACATGGTACGAGGACAGGTAGCCTACTTTCCAAATTTGGAAAATTTTCGCCAAAAGCTTCTCGAGACGTTTCTGAGTGCGGATCGACGGGGTCTCGCACAAGAGATGATTGAAGCCCGCGTGCAAAAGCCAAACGAAAGCATCGCCATGTTCGCTGAGGATATGGCCCGTCTATTTCGCCGCGCTGACCCTGACGTGCCCGAGGCAAGGAAAGTTCGTCACCTGATGCGGGGTGTGAAGGAACCGCTCTTCGCCGGCCTTGTACGAAATCCACCAACAACAGTGGATGAATTCATCAAAGAGGCGACTTTCATTGAGCGGGCTTTGCGGTAACGATGCCGCCACTTTGACCGCCTGCCCGACCAAACGCCTGTTGGTGCCGCCGCTCAAAACGCTGCCGTTTCCGAAAACTCTTTACGGCAAATGATTAGACAAATCCTGCGGGAAGAGCTGCGGACCCCCGGCCTTCCGTCTGCCGAGCCCCCGGTTGCTTCTGTTGCAGAAATCGTGCGCCAGGAACTACGGCAAGCCTTTCCATCACCAGCGCCACCAGTCGAACCACGTCCACTGACCTATGCCGATGCCGTCCGCCGTCATTCGCCTGCCCCAGAAGAAGCACCCTTTCAGCCTTGCCATGGTGGCAGCGGCAACCTGTGCGGCGACCACCAGTACGTCGGACCGACTTGTGGCGCACTGCCGACCGCCGACCCCTTTGTTTCCACTGCGGCGAACCAGGCCACATCTCGCACTACTGCCGTCATCGAGAAGCCCGGTTTGGAAACTTTTCTCGGCCCGCTTCCTTTTATTTTGAAGACCCTCGTGACCATGGTGCTGATCACCTGCCGACCAACCAAGCGTCTTCACCAAGTTGTCGCTGGCGGTCTCCCACACCTGCACGAGGTCAGAATACTTCGAATCGCCAAAGATACGCTGACGCCGTCAGAAACCGCTCCCCAAGCCCGTGCCAGGAAAACTAACTGCCACGACCTCCGGGGGCAAGGTTGCCAATCGCCGAGACGCCAAAAAGACCCCCTTGCATTTACACAAAGACGACGTGACGACGGTGATGACGAAGACGACGACAACCACGAGTACTAATGCCAATGAATTTGTACGTGCCGAGCTCAGCGTTATTATAGACGGACACCACGTAACAGCACTGTTTGACACTGGTGCTGACTTCTCTATTATGAGACAAGAGCTCGCCGACTGCCTTAAGAAGGTCAAGACGCCGTGGAGTGGGCCGAGCATAAGGAGGGCTGGTGGGCAGCTAATGACGCCAACCCCTAAATGCACCGCTCAGCTCGTAATCGTCGCCACTTTTGTCATTTTACCGGACTGTTGTAAAGAGTAGATTTTGGGTATCGATTTTCTGAGAGAGTATGGTGCTGTCACCAACATTCCAGAACGTATCGTCACCTTTTCCGCCCATCCTTACATCGACACCATCACTGAAGAACAACTGCAACGTTTACGTGTAGCCGATGATGTGATGCTCCTGCCGAGATCTTGCTGCCTTGTGTCAGGTGTTATGTGAACGGCCGTGCCGTAATGAGGTGATAGTGGAGCGAATAGACACGCTATTGCTTACGCAAGGTGTTTCAATAGCGAGAGGCGTTCTGGCACTAATTGATGGACGGGCAGAAGTGCTCATCACCAACTTCAGCAACGAGCGTCGTCACATCCAGAAGGGCACCGCGATTGCCTACTACGGCGACGTGGACCAAGCCAGAGATTGCTTCGCTTTGCAACCGGACGACGCGACTATCCCAGCCTCGACACCTTTGTCTGTCAACATTTGCTCAACACTGTCAGCCTCGGATAAACCGCGCCTACTTGAGCTGATACACCAGTTCAAAAATTGTTTTTCGTGCACGTCGAAAGTCAAGCAAACACCCCTGACCCGGCACCGAATCATCGTTGAAGAAAATACGAGACCGATACGTCAAAACCCATACCGTGTGGCTCCAAAAGAATGTAAGGAGATCCAAAAGCAAATTCAAAAGATGCTCCAAGATGACGTAATACAGCCTTCCAAGAGTCCCTGGGCATCCCCCGTGGTATTGGTTGAAAAGAAAGACGGCAGCTTGCGTTTCTGTATAGATTACCACAAGTTAAACCAATTAACAAAGAAAGACGTCTACCCACTGCCACGCATAGATGACTCTCTTGATCGGCTGTGGCATGCACGCTATTTCTCATCGATGGACCTGCGAAGTGGCTATTGGCAAATAGAGGTCGACGAGAGAGACCGTGAGAAAACTGCTTTCATGACGCCCGACAGTCTTTATGAATCTAAAGTTCTTCCATTTGGGTTATGCTCAGCGCCAGCCACTTTTCAGCGTTTCATGGACACTTGGCTATCAGGACTAAAGTGGCAGACATGCTTGGTATATCTAGACGACGTTCTCGACTTCTCAGCTACATTCGAGGAACACCTAAGTCGATTATTCGCAGTTCTAAAAGCTATACGTTCGGCGGGCTTACTTTAAAACCAGAGAAGTGCCATTTCGATTTCAGCGAATTTTGCTTCTTAGGCCACGTGGTGAGCCACGAAGGTGTTCGACCTGACCCGGGCAAAATCGACGCTGTCACAAAGTTTCCCGCACCGCATGACAAAAGAGCAGTGAGACGCTTCTTAGGCCTCTGCGCCTATTACCGACGATTCATCGCCTACTTTCCGTCTATTGCGGCGCCTCTGACGCGGCTCACACGAGAGGATGTCCCTTTTCTTTGGAGTGAAAAAGAACAAACAGCGTTCATCGAATTACGCCAACGCCTCCAAACACCTCCGGTTCCTGCGCACTTTGACCAGGAAGCGCCAACAGCACTTCACACCGACGCAAGCAATGTAGGCTTGGGCGCCGTACTGATACAATGGCAAGATAACTCCGAGAAAGTGATAGCCTATGCCAGCAGAGCTCTCTCTCGCACGGAAGAGAACTTCTCGACTACCGAGAAAGAGTGCCTCGCCGTGGTTTGGGCCGTTCGCAAATTTCGACCGTATCTGTACGGCCGCTCATTAAAGATCATCAGTGATCACCACTCACTTTGCTGGCTCACTAACTTGAAAGAACCATCCGGCCGTTTAGCACGCTGGAGCCTTCGGCTTCAGGAGTTTGATATGACCATTATTTATAAATGAGGGGAGAAGCACACCGACGCAGACTGTCTCTCGCGGTCACCCATCGAGCCTGCCGCTATTATTGACGAGTCTATGGACGCCGCATTCTTGGTAGTCATCAACGCGGCCACTATTTCACAAGAGCAGCGCAGTGACCCTGACCTGCTTTCGCTTATCGACTTCTTAGAAGGACGACGTGAAGACGTGGCGCGAGTTTTCGCGAGAGGAGTGCCATCTTTTTGTTTAAGGAACGACGTCCTATACAAGAAAAACTTTTCTCCCACCGACAGCCCATACTTGCTCGTCGTCCCTGCATCACTGCGAAAAGAAATTCTGGAAGCCTGCCATGATGAAATCACCTCCGGTCATCCATCTCGGTTACACTCGAACATTGTACCGTCTGCAAAACAGTTAATACTGGCCGAACGTACCTGCTGCTGTGAAACATCACTTCCAAACATGTGCTGACTGTCAAAGACGCAAAGCACCACCCGGCAGGCCGGCAGGCTTATTACAATCCGTTCAAGTACCAGCAAAGCCATTCACCCAAATCAGAATGGATTTCCTGGGCCCATTTCCAACTTCTACCACAGAAAACAGATGGATCATTGTCGTTACCAATTACTTGTCTCGCTACGCAGAAACTAAAGCCATGCCGAGGGCCACAGCAGCAGAAGCGGCTCATTTCTTCATAGAAAACGTCGTCTTTCGGCACGGTGCTCCAACAGCTCTCATCACGGATAGAGGAACTGCGTTCGTGGAAGAACTTGTGGAGTCGGTTC